AAACCTGTCACTGGGAGCACATTATGCAGGAAGTTTCCTTTGTTACCAGGAGGGTTGAACAAGGCCACAATGTAGGTTTCACCGGTTGAACTTTTCGCCTTTCCAATGCCGACTTCCTGAGACCCAACCCAGACAAGCTGGGTAAAATAAGAGGATTTCAGAGATTCCTTTGCGCTGTGAAAATCATAGAATCTAATTTGATTATACCACGACTGCACGCTTTTAGTTGCGACGTCTTTCTCGTCTTTGGTCGAGAAAATGTTCTGACCATATTTGGAGTTGACGTCAATCTTTTCCTTGTCCTGATTGGCCAATTGAGTTGCCCATAACTCGGCCTTGTTAGTCAGGTCGAGTGAGAGCTGGAGAGGAGCGGCAGCGTGCATCAAACGATATTTGTTCATCAACTGTAATTCCTTTTCTAAGAATTCTTCAACCCCTGTGAAGGAAAATGAATAAATTTGATTTGTTGGTTTAACCGAAAAATTAACAATATCTTCCTTATGAACGACGATATTTTGCGGTCAGTTGGTTTAATCGAAATTTGGAGCGAGAAGGACATTGTGTCCAGTTAGATGTCTTGTCTCTTTCTAACAATACTGGTCGAAAAAAAAAATAGCAGACCTTCTTTTTCAGTACGTCCAATTCCTTTTTTTACAATTACAGTTACGTACTCAGATAAGGTAAAGCTGCATCTGCAAGAAGCGTCATGATACAATTTGACCCTCCGTTATTCCAAAATCCACTGATTTAATCCATTAATTGGTTTCGCTCCAAGAAGCCGATGGGTCAGACGTTGAAACAAAAGTGATTAAGTAACTAATTGGGTAAAACTCATCTATGGAATCAGTCATAATTCATCGACTGAGAATGGAGACTTTTGGGGGATCGCATTATTTTAGGGGTAATGGAGGGGTATCAATCGTTGTCTGTGTGGGGGTGAAAATTACACAGCCTTACCCCAAAGGTCTTTCGTCTATTAAAATTTCGAATTAGTAAAAATATCTTTCAGAAGCGGGTGTGGGTTGCTTTCTGAAATAATGACTATTGGAATAGTGGCTTGGAACTTCAAAAGACATCCTCACATTACCTGACGGCTTCTGAAGGTCTTCGGGGATGGGAGAGGGGGCAGCTTTGATGGTCACCACGAACAAAAACACAGTTCCAAAACACGTTCGGAGAAACATGGCTGACAATTCTCTATCGTTAAAAAGTGAAACGATTAGGAGTTAACGTTATGGTTTTCTCGTTATCAACCATAGTTTCAGGATTTTCATATGCAATGACATCTAAGCATAAAGTTTTGAACTGACTGTACGCGAGTAAGTTGACTCGAAATGAATATGGACAGAGCGTAGAGAATGCGGTTCTTAATCATTACTTTCTTAAAAGAAACGGTGAACAATGGAAGCAATTTCTATTAATATTATTGCTTTGAGTGGGTTTAAAGTGAGGTTTTGCACAAGATTTGAAGTTTGCCTCAGTGATTTTTCTCATCCGCTTTTCTGACAACTGATAATACTGCCACCAAAGCGGTGGTCTAATGGTTAGTGCGCTGAACGTAACTGCGAGAGGTATGGGTTCGGGCTCTGACCGGGTCTTGAATGAGAAGTGAGTGAAACAAGGCCTCAATAATTTATTTACGATTTTAAATGAGTCTCAGAAAATTTGCAAGGAATCTAAGGAAGCCTGAAGGGAAGGGAAGGTGGAGGAGAGCGTAGAGCGTGCCACCGTCGTGGAGGGGTGGCAAAATATTCCACGTTACTCCATGCTTGGGCAATCGTCGATGGATCCGGGAAAACGGGACACTTCACTTCACTCGTAAAACAGGAAGCTAACTCTAACCGATCAACCATGCAATACCCTCACGGGAAAGGGGAGGTACCAGATCAAATAAGTCATTAGGCAAACACCTTAGTTGCTGGTGCTTCAACGCTTGCAGTTATATAAATTTATCTTCATTATTTCCTTTTCGATGAAAAAACTAAAGCTGACAGTAATTCTGAAAACCTTATTGTGCATATGAATGTCACTTAACAATATTGTTCACTTAGTCATAACTGTAAGGGGAGCAGAATTAATCTTATCACAATCTTTCTATTAGGACCTTTCCTTATCTATTAATAGTATCAGCGGCTAGTTAGGCAGACTTCGACTACAGATCTCGTCGTCACATAACTTTTAATTTTGAACTGAACAATTAAAATGAGTTTTGAGATTTGATTTGAATACGTTTCCGTCCGCCTTCGCTTTTCCATTGACATCAAAATAATATGTCCCTGTCGGTTCTCATTTGTCCGTCACCAGTTACTCAAAACAGGTAAGTTTTTCTACTTTTATAATAAAAAAAACCACGAAGAAGAAGAAAAAATGTCATGTTGGACTAAAGTTTCGAAGCATATACAATCTCGAAACAGAAACCAAAGATCCTAGCTGCATGAACCGCACCCAAAATGCACCAATTATAATCTCATAGTTAACTTGATTGCGAGTGGCAGCCTTGTCAATAAAAACATCTTCCCACAGAGGAACAATAAAGCGTTCAAGGTACGTAAATTTATTGCTATCTGTCAGACAATGTAAACAAAAAGTTGTCTACCAATATCTTCGTTTTGTCGAAAAGTGTTTTCTAAATAAGACTTACCTCCGCCAGTCAGCTCTCTGATATCCCGGCGTGAATCAAAACTTTTTGAAGACCTGTAGACGGAACTGAGAAACCTGTAGTCCTTAAGTGTTTGATAATTTATGAGCAAAAGCAACGGAAGTTCGACAAAAAAAAACGGGACTCAATTGGCCAGCGTGATACCTGTTTATTGTCCCTCCACGATTCACTTGACAAGTATTGCTACATCAAATAGCACATTACATGTTTTGACACTTAGCTTTGATTGCGCCAATTTAGATCAAACCTCAGTCTTTTAGCCGAGAAAATAACTGGCTTTTATTTAATCAAATTGAAACCATTTTTAAAGTTTTGGTCATGAAAGGCTGGAAAGTGAACTAAAATTGACAGCTGACCAGTTGTCGTTCGTCTTAAAATTTTTGCTTCATCCCAATTTTTTTCTTCGCTATCATTTAGCCTCGGGTCTGCATGGTTAAGAAGCTTCCAGTGCACTGTTATTTCTTATAAGGAGCTGGTATCCTTGGTGGTTTGTATCTGTAGACGGATTATAAGCGGGAAACGCACAACGTTACCGAACAAACTGCATTGAGAAGGTAACAAAACCATATTTCATTACCTGAAGAAGAAAAAACACAAAACTCAAACTCTAAGTCTAATTGTAGATGGAACTGAGGAGACAATAAGATCAGACTTCGATAACAGGGAGCACAGCTCTCCATGAGAAGACAATATTATATAGCTTTTTATGGGAGTTTAGTCTCCACTCTGTAAATCCGTAAATAATGAAGCAAATAGACTATCTAACCATCTAACTGTCATATAGTGTCGTTAGTGTTATTTTTGTTCTCTGGTAGCAATTTCGGGCCATTTCGATGAGTTCTAGTCGAGCTTTCATCCCACTTCTGTCTGCACTAAGTACTAATGTCTTGGATCACAAAAGCCTCTGGTATAATGTACCACTTCCAAGCTGCTACAGCGTTTACTGCGAGATTGTAATCTCTTGGTTTGACCAAGAATACCATGACTACTTCAGGGCAGGCAGTAATGGGATGAGAGCTCAGCTTAAACAAATATTACGATGCTATATGAAGTTAGAGTTTCTTTCTTTTATTATTAGCGGAGTTACAGAGCGGAACCTACACTCCCATACAAAGCTTTATAATATTATCCTCTTATGGAGAGCTTGGGCATCCTGTGCTTTAATCAGTTCTACCTCGCAGCCGGTTAGTTAATAGAGCACTTTCCACTGACTAACGTATTTGACAAGACAACTAATAATCTTTCAGTTCTGCCAGTAGAAGACATCCTCTCCTGGTTCTTCTCTTGCACTGTTATCAGTCTTATCAAGGCAATGATGAAAAGAATTGGAAGGGGCTCATTAGCGGGATGCAAATAGTGAACTTATAGCTGGAAGGAATCATTTCAATGAAGTAGGGTTTTCGTTCGTGGGATGGGAGGGAGAGGAGAAAATTTCACTGGGGAAAGTCACAAAACACAGATTTTTTAGTACAGAAGCTGAAGCACTTGTCATGGTAGTCTCGTCAAACCTTGTTACTTTGTTGACGTTTTGACGGAAAAGCAGTGGTACATCACACTAGAATCTTTTTTGATCTAAGAGTCATAGCGCTTTCTTGAGGTTGCTTCAGCAGATCCTCCCTTTTACTGAATCATTATTCCAGTGTTACTTTCGGGACGCGGAACTCACTCACGAGACATCTCCTGCGTATACAGACATTCGGTCTAAGTCACTTAGGAGCCCATCTTTTGAAAGTTTTCACAAACGGATTTAACTTCACTTCTGAGGTAGATACTCGCTCTGGTCCCGAGGGTTCTAGGAGGATATCCTTTTACAAAATATTCGATATGCTTATATCAAATAAGCTGTCCCTTGCGCTCTAGCCTGAATTTCATAATCCCGCATATCATTTTTGGCTTAAAATCATTTCAAAGTCATTATGCAGGCTACGAAGGAAGAGAAAATCAATTGAACCGTTTTGAGTTACGACAGGAGACTGTGCGTGCGACTTGTATGAGTCCTTCCGACGATTCTGCCCTCTTGATTTCGTGCATTTGCGACTGATCTCGGGATTTACTTCGGTTAATTTTCGGGTCAGTTTGTAAAAATGTCATTCTCATTTTCTGACGCCATACGTCATGTCTGTTATCTTGGCGATCTTTGGCTCCAAAATCCAAGGTCATTGTTGAGGAAACAATAGGCGAATGATCTGTATCAAAGTACCGGTCGGTGGATCGTGCAGCACAAGACAGGACATCCGCTTGCCATGTCAGCGTAAACAATCGAAGGATTTGTCATTTGAGAGGTAGGGCAGGAAAAACGCAGATGAAACGTGAAACGTAACTCGACCCTCAGAAAAACAGCATGCTTCACTGACACTTCCGATCAGTACACGTTAGTCTACTTTTGGGTTACAAATTTTCATGTTGTTGCAAGCGCCAGAGAAATGTCGACGTTGATTGTAGATTTCTCTCGTTCAATGTCCTCTTTCTGGCGCGTACTTTTCGTTGCTGCTCTTCTGCTTTGTTTGGCCAGGAGTGGCTTTACATGCCCAGAAAATTGTCTATGTTACCGGACGCATGCCGGACCAACTGTGCGCTGCAACCATCATTCTTTGTCAAGAATACCAAATGTTCCAGCTTCGACTGTTGTGTTGTAAGTAGCGCTGTAATTGTCTTTACAAACGCGTGCGAGCTGTTCGCACACACAATGAACTCACTGTTCGACTCGGTGTCATATTGGATATTTGTTTAGAAGGCTTTGGGAGGATTTAAGTACAACATGAATCTCTTGTATCGTGAGTGAGTTAAAATACCGACTAAACTTGGGTTCTTTCCAAATGCGATAGATGATCAACCATGCTTTACATTTGTTCCTGAAAAAACCCAAATTATTGCCGAATTGTGGGCTTGCGATCGTATAATCCCGTTAAAATTTGCGGTCGTTATGATGACGGCGATTCAAAGTGGAAACAATCCATCGGTGTGCCATATCCCATTGTTTGAGTGAAATTGCGCCCGAACGGCGCCGGGATGTGTATCGCAATAAGGCACACGAGAAAAGTTTATTTTACAGATTTTTAATAACATAACGGCTTAGCATGAACACAAACATCTGCCCGCCATGGTCAATTCACTCTAGACAACCTTCTGACATTTGAGAGTGGCATCTCAAATAATTTTGACGCCATTAGAGACATTTTGGTTTGATCAAATCTTTCTAAATTGAAATGTTGACGATTTTATTACATGGCCACTTAGGCTTGACTTCAAACTAATTAATCCACACTTTTAACCATTAGATTTTTTCACGAGATTAAATTAGTTTTTTCATCAAAAGATCTACTACTGTTATTGCAAGGATTTCGTGACAGTTCTCTTACGTCCCACGTCGAATAATGCTAGAGATTTTTCCGCAAAAAACGCATTTTTGGACCCATCAGTTCACAAAATATGCGAGTTATAAAACGTTTTGTGAAAACTTGTTTGTTCCATCTTGAAATGAAAGAAAACAACACTTCCTATTTCGTGACATGTCACCCATTGAGTTCATTGCAAAGTATTTCAATGGCGTATGGTCAGACAGTCACTTTTCTATTTTCTCATTACGAGTTTTCGAAGACCTTAGAAACGAGTATTTTATGTTACAAATTGATATTTAAGTCAAGAGCTCCGATTACAGGCCCTTCAAAAATGAAGAAGCGATTTTTAGCATTCAACGCCCCAATTTCTCATACCAGAACAATTTGTCACTACAGTGCTGCGACAATTTGCTCTTTTTGAAACGCATTTCAGTGGTGTACTGTGTTGGATGTGAGACTTGAGAAGTTCAGAAGTTTTATCAAGCTGATGTTCAGATCGAAAGTTATTCAGTGTCACTACTGTAAAAGATGCTACCAGTTAGATTGCTGTTTTCAGCTGGGTGTACAAATTATGAGGAATTTTCACCGGAAAAGAAGATAATCGATTTTGTTTTAGTTCTCTCTATGCTTTAACTGAAAGACGCTGCTACTTGCTCTACTTAATTCGCTTGTTTTGCCGATGAAAGTAAAGTTCCACATAAATTACTAAATCTGCTTCGATTTCCTCTCTTCTATGAACAAAATTGTGTCAGAAGGTACAGGCGGAAAACACTTACAGGACTTAGTCAACAAATGAAAAATCATGAACTTAAAAGAACTTTTGATCGCGTCAAAGAACATTTCTCGTCATCAATACAAGCAACTGGCTTTAGGTTTTATTTTCACGACTACTTAAGTAGTGTTCATGATTACTGCGAAGATAACTCACGTATTCATCAATTAATCCGTAGTTCACATAGATGATTTTCACATATTCTCAGCCGGTCATTTAGAAGTAATTGCAATGTCTAGTTCAACATTCATCAGTCGTTAACAACACGCGCTTTAATAAACGTTCCGACCATGTTTGACGTTTGTTGAATTTGAATCTTTTCCCGTTTTCTTATCAACTTCCTGCGATCGACAAAACTATGTTTTAAATTAATCACTTCTCTTTTTCTAAACATCAATTGGGATGGGCTGGTCAATTCCCGCCTTGAACCACAAAAATGTAAGGGATTTCGTGGCTTGTGATTGAATCCTATCATCATAGTTGAAGATAGGCTAAGATATATTGAATGTGACTCGGTTGGAATGGTCAAAGTGCTGTAAGAAAAAAAAACCGCACGCACACACGTATATTCTTAATGCGGTTTAAGGGGTCAATGTCGAGATTGGTATACAACAGGAAAAATCATCTTGAAACCATCTTGCAATTTGGCCTCACTCCTTACCTACGTAATGGGCTATACTTTCCTGAATTATTTCTAAACTTGGCTTTTTTCTAAAGCCTTGAGCTGGACATTCGAAAATTAAAATAACAAGTTTGGTCCTCTGTGTTTTGATTTCATCTACATGCCAGTGATTCTGTGAGTTCTTTTCTGGGTGAGTGTGATTCAACTTAAACAACCGGAAAAGTTATCACTATAATACAAAAACTAGATTATCATCGGGACCCACAACTTTCAAATTACGTGATTTTCAATTGCTTGATCTTGTAAACAATCAGAAGTGCTCGACGCAGCTGATCCTCAAAATAGCCGATTCCCAGCCTTTGTTGAGCTGGCTGGCAACTTTTTTTGAGGTAGTGGATCATTAACTATCCGACTTTTTCCTCCATATGTCATCTTCCTCACCTATTTTCTGATGGTAAATAACACTTATTATTTTAGTAAAGAAGATCACCATGACTTTTAAGAGAAGATGTTGTGAAACACGCTTACTCGCGGGCTTCAGCCACGATGAAGGCCGGCATCTTGTTACAGTGCGTGCGTTACGCACTGGTGTAAATTATGCGTAGAAAGGATGTGTATTGAAAATAAAACAGTTACCATAATGATTCGATTTAGCGCCCTTGTTCCAATAAGCGCCCCCTCTCCGGTAAGTGCCCACCTCGATTCTGTTTTTTGTTAATAAGTACCCCTATTCTAATAAGCGCCCTTACTGAGTAAGCACCTAAATTCCAACAAGCACCCCTATACCAAAAAACGGATTGTTAGAGTGTTTAGACATTGAGATTAACTGTGGCCTCATTACAAAAACAGTGGTCTTCCTCATAGTCTCTCAACTATTATCTTTTATGTCCATGTGAGAGCACAGTTCCTTCAAACGAGTGATCTCATCGAAAAATTTTGAAATTTTGCGATGATTGCTTGATCGTCCTAGCCAGGAAGGATCCAAGACAACAAATCCACTTTCCAGTCTTCTTGTTCTTTTACAAATAAACATCAAATACTTATTTATTACTTTTTGCTGTGTTTCAAAAAAAGGGAATAAGCGCCCTGTCCCTAATAAGCGCCCTGTTTCGAATAACCATCCTCCCTTGAGGTACCAAATGTGAATAAGCGCTAAATCGAATCATTACAGTAATTTAAAAGCTTTTGAACGTCCTGCTAACCCTTTCATTAGGTGACCATTCAATCGCTCGTAAAGGAGCACCAAGTTATTATTATTATTATTATTATTATTATTATTATTATTATTACTATTTCTCTCCATCCATATTATAACAAGTTTGTAGGATCTCTTTCAGGTTCTAGGGGTCTCGGCGGTTTTAGTATCACGGTATGCGTGAGTGAACATCTAACAGTTTTCAGTTTTATTAGAATTTGCGGTCATTGTGGCAACCGTAACAGTATCAAATGCAGACAGTTGAAGTGAGCAGCCCGTGGTGGCCATTGTTTTTTAAAATACCCCAAGTTGGTTGAAAAAACGTTATTTTTCCTCTTGGTGTGAAACTTAAGTGCGACCAATTCTTAAGTATACTATGACCCTTTACTCACTTAAAATCAGCATACATATCCCCTATACTGTTCTCCAACCATTTCCTAATGTGTTGACATGGAGAATTTGTTTAACAATCAAGAGCTTTTTTAGTTGGTGATCATTTGCTGTACAATTCTCGTGAACTTCATGTGTGATTCAGCGGTGATATTGTAAGACATTGGATACCAGTCACTCTTAGGTGTCAAAAGGTTAATTAAACTCAACCTAGTTATTACACGAAGAGAATGCCCGCATTGGAGTAGCTGAATGATATAACATCGCAGCTTTATTTCATGCTCAGTTCATCTTGATTGTTGTCCAAACATGTCTTGGAATCTGAATTTTTAAATAGCTGTCGATGTTGTTTCGCTAAACAGCTTCCACGCTAGTTAGTATCTTTTACTGCTTATGGCACTGTAATTTCCTTGCAATTTAAGATGGATGGTGAATAAAGGTTGTTTAGTAGCAGTAGTAATCTTTATTGAAGATGCCAAAGATTACTACTCCTCTTTAATGAGGATGCCAAAGATTACTACTATTACTAAACAGCCTTTATTCACCAGCCATCTTAAATTGCAAGGAAATTACAGTGTAATGAGCAGTAAAAGGTTCTAACTAGCGTGGAAGCTAAAAACCAGTGAAAACTGACTCAGAATAAAACCAAAAACAAAAGAAGTATTTTAGGAGATTAAAAAAATCCCTCAAAATCTCTTCATGGGCGGTTTTTCGATGCGATAATATGAATTCAATGTTCTTCCGTGCAAGCCTGTGGTTTAACCTTTTAAGCTGTGAGGTTAACTAAGCAATTTCTCTAAGGGCATGTCGCACATTTCTCACGCCTGTTGTAGAGTGATTTAGTCAAATTTATTTTTAAAAATCCAAATTTCCAGACTTACGTACCCATGCAAATTTACTGCAGGAAAGGTCAACCAAAACGAGTAGTTGGTGAACTCACCACCCATGCAAATAATCGCTTAGGCTTCAGATTAAGAGAAAGAGGATTATACTACTTCAGAGACATTTCACTAAGCTATGGAATTAAGAAGATTAACAATGACTGTCTCAATACAACTTTTATCTCTTAAAGCTCGAAGATTTATTTTAAAAAATGGGGTTTATGTAACATGTAGACAACTTTTTGGCTTAGGGTGGTTTGGACGAATTTGGCGACGTCAGAGGGAAAAAATGAGTCCTAATTTGACCTAAATTTTCTCCTATACTTAAATATATTCGGAGAAAAGTGGAATATTTTTTTCTCTTCACAGTTACCCCAGTTATCTTTACTTAAGTATGCGTCAGCCGAAGCAGGCGGTAAGCGGTTCAAATTTTTGCCGTCTGCCTTGTTGCATAAGCTCTCTATTGTGTAATTAAAACATCCACAATATTCAGTGAGAAAAATTTTCCATTCAAGCTTTAACTTTAATTTATTTTACACATCGTTTTAATCTTAAACAATGAAAAGTCTGTTGTTTTCTGCCATAAATGAAAGCTTTAGACATTCTACATCCAAACTGAAACAAAATACACTGTATCTAACAGAGCGTGTTATTTGGAAGATTTCATTATCGATCGATCGATCATGCTAGGTTCTAAAATAAACCAAAGAGAACATTATTAGCTCATACAGATTTGAACACAGATAAACTAAGAGCATTAAAAAGCTAATCTTTCGGATTACTTCCATTGATGTCTTATTTGGGCAAGGCGGACGAATTTAGCTTTGTGATACTTAGTGCTGTTTGTCATCAACTGTGTAAATGAGTTGCACCTTTAAATTATTCTGTCTTAGCTCTTCTTCTTTATAGAAATTTTTAACCTTGTAACTCCCAAGTTCAAATGGATAATTATCTATACTTACTACTTTACCTTTCCTCGTAAGTTAGACAGGAGAATCTGGTCTTATTCCAAAATAACACCCTCTGGATGATAAGCTTCTCTGTTCTCGTAACCTATTTACAAGATAAGTTATTGGAATTGCATGGAGAAGTTGCTTGCTAATCACTCTTGGAAGTTGAAGGGTTGAGCAGAAATTTAGCTGAACTGAAGTTTTTTTTAGTGTTGAGACATTTCACAGGTTGGTGAAAAAAATTGGAGACTGAAAACAACCAAACTCGATTTTCACTTCAGGTACCTGTTTAGAAACACTCCTTTCTGGTTGCCATACAATTTCTCAGAAATTGCATGAGAGAATTGGGTGTTTGATCAGATCAAGAGAACATCTCCAAGCTCATAAACTTGTCTATTCACATTACCTGTTTCCTTCAAGATATTGCAAAAATGTTTAGAGAAGTCACTTGTTAATCTTTTCTTTAAGACAAAGCATGCTTAGGGCATCAAGCACGCAAGACTTGCCCAAGAAGACAAAATTTCAAATGGATCTGGCAGAATTTCAAGCTTCCCTTCGCTTAACTTAATCTCATTGCTGTTGTATTTCTTTCAAGCGGTACGTTTGATATGTGCAGGTTAAGGTATCAGAAATCAAAGTTCATATCATTTTTTTTTTTTTTTGTAACGAATTAAAATCACAGGCACGTGTCTATTTATGACATGTAGGCGGCACGCTTATAAAGTCCAAAAAGGTATTATTTTGCGTGGCTACCACTTGAAACTCTACTTGTCGCCTGTGTCTCATTTATTTTTCGAAAGGAGGAAAAACGAGTCTTCAAGTTCTTTTTCCAGTGGCTTTTCTTAACCTTGTGTATCAGTTGTTTTTGATAGACATCTACGATTGTTTCTTAAACCTTCTCGAATCACGTAGACCAAAACACGTTTTTTTTAATTTTTTTAGTTGTGTGTAGGATTTTAGGTTATATCTTCAGATCACTTCTGCCAGTTATCTGGTTGGGCCGAAGTCCAAAAGATTAAGTTTCTTGGACCCTTAATAATACTCAAACACCCAGGAGTGCCTGACACAAATATCCCTTTGCAATTAATCGTGGACGAAGTTCTAAGGTGGATGCATGAGTGCAAGTTTTTTACTTGAAGGCTTCTACTTGAAAGTATAAGTAATAACATAATTTCGAGTGCAGTTTGGTGTTAATAAGCACGAGTAATTATTCAAAGAAAAGCAAAATTCTTTGTCTTTGAACATTTAAAAGTGCTTATTCACACCAAATTGCAAGAGAAATCATGTTATTTCTTGGTGATAATGTACAGGAAAAAACATCGCAGAAAGTCAAAACAGACGAAATTTTGAAAGCGTGCGCGTGCTATTTGTGTTTTGCACTAGTGTAACAACTTTGCACTCGTGTTGCACGAGAATGCACTCGTTTTCAGCCAATAAGAAGCGCATAGTTTTTATTTATGTAAAACACTGTTTGGAAGTGATAACACTCTTAGGTGCCTTTCAATTTTTTTCTGCTTGCCTTTGGCATGGAAATTTCTAATGCGTATGAAGTTTCAAATGCGAAAAGCGTTCGAAGACTGTGCCTAAATTTTACCCTTACGAGCGCGCGCAAGTAGATTTGGGTCACGTCTAAATATGACATCAGATTCTTTCAACCATAAGAGTAAATTGTTCAGCTAGTGGCAGGGAGAATAATAAAACAGATCGTGAGATTTTTTTTTTTGATTTTTATTATAAGTGACATAATATTTCTTTAAAAATTGTCTTTAAAAAAAGTCACTGCTTTTGAATTTCTCCAAGCGAAACACCAGTCTCACGTGCCAGACATGCTTCAGTTAAAACGTGGGAGGGGTGGGGGGGGGGGGGGAAGGTGTGGATAGGGCTTTTTTACTGGACCTGAGCAAAGTTTTGCTGTTGCCAATGCTCTGTCGAAACAAAACTACTTTGCTCAATGCATTCTCTCAAAAACAACCCTTCTGTTTTCATAACTGTTTCTCATTTTATTTTTCTTTTATAAGTATATATATATTTCTCTTTTTGGTTAGGGATTTGAGATTCAACAATATATCAGTAATCAGTAATGGGGACCTGGCACAGCTGCGATACCTCACCACACTGTGAGTAATTTTATCCTTCAGTATTTTGATCATTTTAATTTGACTTGTTTTTGTTGTTGTTACATTTACAGTGCAGTTTGTAACGTACTTATAACGTCTGTTTTTAACTTCCGACAGATTCCTTAGCGGTAATAACATTCAAATTATTGAGCCAGAGGCCTTTACAGAATTAGTATCCCTCAAATATCTGTAAGTAGCCAAAGTTTTTGATATCATCATCCAGTAAGCTTGAAATAATTCACGCATCACTATCTTACTGCAAATATATCCACAACTGTATTTAATGATTTTTTGCAGATATTTGTTCAATAATAAGCTTAAACGGATACACGAGAATGCATTCAGTGGCCTCCGTTCTCTTGAGCAGTTGTAAGTAAAGGGAAAAACAAACCCAGAACTATTTTTGTTTAAAGCATTCAGGTCTTTAGGGTTACAAATAACCTTTCCGTGACTGAAGATATCGAGATGCTGTTACCTTAGGGGGGCTCGTATTTAGATCACTTTTTTTTTTTACATTCAAGAGCTTAAATAGGAATAAATGTATTATCTTACAGGTGCAGAGTACCGAGCGCCTTTTGTGAAACATTTGATTAAGTCAGTCTACATGCTTTTTTTAAGATAATTTCAAACTGCCTCGGTAAAACTGCATCAGTTACTTCCCCCCTCACTCCCTGAAATAAGGGGTCATTTTAAATAAGCCTTCTTAGATATTGAAAATTGCCAAAAAAGCTTTCAAAATTACTAAGTATGACTTCAAAACTACAAGTCCACGTTCATTAAAAGTAACGTTTAATGAAATGCTTGCTTGAAAGATACGCCTTCACTCTCTTTGAAAACGCCTCTTCGTTTCCTTAATGTTTTATCCAATTTAATGAAATAAAAATATTTACCTTTTGCAGATATCTACACCTGAACGAAATAGAAGACATTCCTGCATTCACATTCAATGACCTTACCGCTCTTGAACGATTGTAAGTTCAAGCTTCGAAAATCAGACGTTTAAAGTTTGTTTTCTTTTTGTTTAGTTCTCCTGGGTTGATCTCAATGATGCTTTCATGGCTGATGTAAAATAACTCATGTTGCTTTTCAGGTATCTTCATCACAACCGCCTAAGATCTGTTCCAAGGGGATTGTTTAAAAATCTGGAGTCATTAAGAAGACTGTAAGTTTGGATGTCTCGGTCACTTTCTGCTAAAAATCATAGAGTACTCTTCTCGTGATCATAAAACTTGGACTTGCCCAAGACTTATCGAAAAATTTCCTGCTTGAAATGAAGATCTTTGCAACTCACCGTGTTTCTCTCGTTTACTCAACTTAAGATCTCGGGCGACAAAATGCCGGGTTTCGGCCGACATGACTAAAAACCCTTGGTCGATATAACTCTAGTTTATAACTTCGGTCGTAGTGCCTTTCGGACAACTTGATCGGTCACCACTATGTTCATAAAACTTAGAGTTACCCACAAACCACGAGGTTCTTATGGATTTATGTTATGATCTTTGGAGTTGGTTCAACGCCATCCCGACTGAATCCTCCGTTACCCGCATAGGCGCAAGACTTATCGAAAAAGAGATGGATTTGAAAGCACTAAATTCTAAAGCTAAGGTATAGTTGTTGTTAACCGCAGCCGACTCGATTCTAACCCACTGAACTGTACCTGTGATGTCCTGTGGCTTTCTCAGCTGCTGAAGAAGACACCAAATACGGAGACAGCGGCTACTTGTGGTGAACCACCCCACCTAAGAGGGACAGCTTTAGTGCGTCTTACTCCAGAAGACGTCAACTGCAGTGAGTTAGTCTGGTGTACTTCCCCCTACGATTTTGCAAGGGTTTTAAATTATTTTTTCCTCTAATGAATTACCTACAAGCCTAACTGGGCTCACGGAAGGCAATTGTCTATTTTGAATCCCCATCTTATAATCAATAATTTTTGTGGAGAAGGAGTGGAAGAAATTGTTGAGTTTCTCAGGAAAAAAAAAACAACGAGTTTCTGATTATGACGCCAAGCTTGCTTTCAAACAGTTTTCACGCCACGTTTTCACTACTCCTCACTACGCTGGCTTTTTCGCAGAATCAACGATCGTTTCGCAATTCTTGGATATGAGAGTTTCATAGAAACTTCAGGCTTCATTCGATAATACGGACGTTTCCCAGCAAACGCAGGGCCAAATTTCTGGACAACTGGAAATTTAGCAAACAAGGGAAAAAGGAAACATTACTTTGATATCAACAAGAGTTATGTCTTTGAACGTTTTATGAATTATACTTCCTTAAAAAAAAGGTATTCGTCCATACAGTGGGCAGTGGTATCAGCTATTAATGTTGATCTGTTGTTTCCATCCCCAGTACCACCATCGTTTGTAAAAACGCCAGCCAACATAGAAGTCTCAGTGCGAGATCGTCAGGTGCTGTTCAGATGCCTTGCCACAGGCAACCCAACACCGACTATATCATGGCGGAAAAACGGCAAGCCCCTAAAGCCGGACACACGTCATGTCATGAGCGAGAGCGGCGCGCTAAGTATTTTTGATCCTAAGTTTGACGATGAAGGAAATTATGAGTGCGTGGCAGAAAATTCTGCTGGGGAGATCGTCAGTAAGGCAGCACTAAATTATCATGGAGTTGAAGGTACAAAATGATACTCTGTGTCAGTATATTAATATGTAAGAGGTCGCATATGATTTATAAGGGTTGGTGTGAATACCATTTCACCCTCTTTCCGGCTAAAATTGACTTTCTGCTAATTCACCGTAGCAGAACATTCCCTTTTCGGTTTCCTTGTGAAAGACACCCCTTTATTTTTCATGGGGTATTCCTTTCGAAAACCTTCTCTAAGCCATTGACAAGTGGATTTTCTCCATATTAAATCTAAAAGCTTTGTATAATTATTCTGCAGCTGCTATCTGAGCTGACAACTTGTCGTGTTAAATCCTAGCTCCACCGTTTCTCGTCCAGTACCCTCATTCCAAGGTAGAATCTATTGAAGGCAACCCAGTGACTTTCACTTGCCGCGCCCGCGGTAACCCTAAGCCTGTTATCGAATGGACTAAAGATGGAACACCGCTGGCCTTTATTCATCATTATAAAGTCTTGCCATCCGGGGATTTGTACATTCCGGAAGTGCGCGTCGTTGATCATGGGATGTACAGATGTCGCGCATCCAACAGGGCCGGAGCCGTGGCAGCGACGACCAGATTGACTGTGACGGGTAATAAGAGACATCTTAGAAAAAAAAACCCTCTTTCTATCGGCTTTGCAACTTTAAAAACCAGCACAGGATCTTAGAATAGAATGAGAACGATTTATAAATTAGGTGCCGAAGGCGATTGCTTGCTTTCCAAATAGCGAAAAAACAAAACGCAGTTGTGCGCACCTTTTTTGTTCCGTTCGTTTTTGCTGCTGGCTGTTAAGTGATCAGCTGAAGCAGCGTGTACGATACTTGAGAAAACAGATCCCGAAAATATTTTTACAACGCGTTTTTTCTTTAATTTTTACCATTCATTTAGCTCAACCAAAATTTACTACAAGACCCGAAAATACTGAAGTATTAGAGGGAAGTACGACGGAATTAAATTGCCGAGTCAGCGGTTACCCAGTACCAGCTATCGCCTGGACCAAAGATGGCGACCGACTTCCGTCACCAGACCGTCATGTTGTCCTGCCATCCGGGACTTTACGAATATTGTTTGCGTCACGTAGTGACCAGGGACAGTATGAATGCCAAGCAATTAATATCATCGGAGTGAGACTGGCGAGAGCATTTCTGACGGTGAAACCTCGAGGTTAGACGAATGACTTCAGTTACGATTAGTTAGCGGGAGGCAGTGGAGCGGGGATATCCTTTATATATCCAAGGGAAATCCCTGGGAATTAACTCTAGAAGCTACTGAATTCCTCGTAGCCATTGTTTTTTTGAAGTTGGAGACCAGGCAGAAGTTGTTTAAGTTCAAGTGCACGCCAACAGCAAACGTTCAGAGCCTGAGACTTGTTCGTCACTCATACATGTGATGTTATCCCTTTCACTCTCGTAAATGACCAAGACAGAATTTCTCCTTACAATATCAATATAATATCAAGCAGGTAAGTGATGAGAATAGAGAAGAATATCAATTATGGGATTATTAGTTGATCCAATACCAAATTCTCTGAACTAACATCATAAGAATAGTATGGCAGATAGTAAGGAGAATTACTAGTTAGATCTTGGGAGTGAAAGGGTTAATGGTAACTCTTTTCTTCTCTTTTTATTTTGTCTTTACATCACTTTCTTTTTAGTTCCTCCCTCCATTGTGGAATCCCCCACAGACATCATTGTGACCGCTGGTCGCACAGTTGAAATTCGCTGTTCAGCTTATGGCGCCCCTAAGCCAATAATAACATGGATCAAAAACAATGTACACATCACAGAAGCGAACAGGTACTCTGTGAGCAAATCCGGGACCTTAAGCATCCGGGATGTTGGAAAGACTGATGAAGGGCGCTACGAATGCGCAGCACGCAACAGCATTGGGGCCGCGTCTGCGCAGATGACGCTAACTGTACAGAGTAAGATTTATCTTGACTTTCACTCCCATTTAATCGTGCATTTATTATTTCTAGGAATTTTGCAGTGACAAAATTCTATTTTCTCTGTACAATCATCATGACAGGATATTATCTGACTAGATAACGTCGGTCAGTTTTGCCATTTTTACTTTCTATTTGGCATTTTTCCTCCCGGAAAGCATCAAGCACAATGGCCGTCTGTTTTTGTCAAAGTACAATGAAAGTGAAACAAAAATAAAAAAAATTTGCTGCGTTTTAAAAGGAGCGATTCCCCAGAAAGAGATGGTATAGCTCCTTCATGAATTGTTCAATTTACCGTAAACGAAACGTTAATACTTCCTGAATGTTTTTTGCTATTGCTGAAGACACAGATCTAATTTAAACTGAGGGAAAGGGGGGTGAGGGGGGCAGGCGTTACTGTATATGTTTACAAGATAGTAAAGATTTACCTCGCTAGGATGCCTCCAGCCATCGAAAAATCCGCCGCTTCCTCGATATGCATGCCTTATTCCCGTGAATTTCACACATGGTTAAGGAAGCACGTTGTAGAACATGGTAGTCTTAAATTATGTTAGTGTTAGAAATAGCATTAAAACGAACGAGGAATCTTGCCTTTCAGTTCCCTCGGATGAAAACCGTATCGGCATTGATGTTATCAACCGAACAATTGGTATAGCCAGGGAAAACGTTAACAGAGCAATAAACGCCAGCATAAAAATGCTGTTTTCTTCTTCACAACCAAGGAAACCCAGTGATCTTCTCGCTTTGTTTCGCTTTCCGTCTCCTGCGGCACAACAGATCGCAAAATCTGCCGAAATCTTCGAACGCACGATCCAGCTTGTCCACGAGCACGTCAAAGAAATGGATAGGGTAAACATTAGCAACGAGAAGTACAATTTCTTTCATCTGTTGTCTCCGCAGCACGTCAGTGTTATCGCCAACTTGTCAGGATGTAGTGCTCATCGCCGAATCAACAACTGCTCCGACATGTGCTTCCACCTCAAGTACCGCACGATCGATGGTACATGCAACAATCTACAGCATTCCATGTGGGGAGCCTCACTGACACCTTTTAAACGTCTGCTAAGTCCCGTTTACGAAAATGGTTATAACACGCCGGTGGGTTGGCAGGACACGGAGGGGCGCCCGAGCGCGCGTCTTGTATCTACAGAACTGGTGTCATCTAAAGAAGTCAGCGAAGATGAAAAGTTCACTCACATGTTGATGCAGTGGGGGCAATTCCTCGATCACGATATCGATTTTATTGTGAGTAGCTTAAGCACGCTCAGGTTCAGCGATGGTCTCGACTGCACAAAAAATTACGGGTTTTGTGATAATCAGCCACCATGTTTTCCTATCGCAATCCCGGACAACGACAAACGCATCAATAATAATGGGCATAAATGTCTGCCTTTTACTCGTTCGAGTGCAGTTTGTGGCACGGGGATGACGTCCGTGTTTTTCAGTGCTGTCACTCCCCGGGAACAGATGAACCAAATCACCTCGTACATCGACGCATCAAATGTTTATGGCTCATCAAAAGAGGAGGTGATGAACTTACGAGATTTAGAGAGCAGAGGACTTCTTAAATCAAACTCCAGCATCGGCAGTGGAAAACCCTTGCTGCCCTTTAACCGCGACACTCCTATTGAATGTCTTCAATCCGATGACAGTCCTGTCCCGTGTTTCCTTGCGGGAGATTTCCGCGCCAACGAACAGCTCGGTCTGCTGTCGATGCACACAATATGGGTGCGCGAACACAACCGCATTGCGCAGGAGCTAGGAGACTTGAATCCCCACTGGGATGGGGATAAAGTGTACCACGAGGCACGCAAAATAGTAGGGGCCGAGATGCAACATATTTCCTACACCGAATGGCTCCCTAAGATTCTTGGCCCTCAAGGAATGGCTCTCATGGGGACCTACAATGGATACGAACCAAATATTGATGCAGGGATCGTTAACGCTTTTGCAACAGCAGCCTTTAGGTTTGGTCACGGACTAATCAATCCGATACTCTTCCGTCTCAACTCTTCTTTTCAACCAATCGAGCAAGGAAATATTCCTCTACACAAAGCGTTCTTCTCACCCTATCGGCTGGTCACCGAGGGTGGAGTAGACCCAATTTTGCGTGGGCTCTTTGGAAGGGCCGCCAAGAGTCGAGATGACAAACATCAGCTTATAAATTCGGAGCTCACAGAGAGGCTCTTTGAAATGGCTCATGAGGTGGCCCTCGATCTTGGTGCGCTCAACATACAGAGAGGACGGGATCATGCGTTACCAGGTATGCGAGATGAAATTATTTGTAAACCTGCCTCACCTTACCATCTTCAATTGAAATGTCGATTATTGTGATGCGGAGTATGCAGGGTACGTGTCAGATAAAGCTGGTACGTGGTCTCTTTAGCTTAGCGGTAAAGCATGCAACCAAGGTTGCTTGATAACTCGGTTTATGAATGCGCTGCTCCAGTTTCACAGGACGTTTATTGGTTCGTCTAAATATTTCGTCAAGCTTCACCCTCACAAACTCTTAAGATGTGTAAATAACTTTGATGAAATTTCTCATATAAAAAAGGCGACAAATGGACTGCTTAGTAAAGATTATTTCCCTGTATATAGTTTATCCTATATATATGCCGGAATAATCTGTAAAAAGAAAATATATTGTTTACGTGTTTCTTGCAGGATACAATAGTTGGCGTGGTCTTTGCAATCTTTCCGTGGTAGAAACGTTTGATGATCTTAAAAACGAGATTGTGGATAGCGATATTCGCGCCAAGTTGAAAGAACTGTATCAACATCCATCAAACATCGACTTGTGGGTGGGAGGACTCCTGGAGGAATTGGCACCTGGTGCCCTCGTTGGACCAACATTTACTTGTATCATTGCTGAACAGTTTAGACGAACGAGAGCTGGAGATAGGTAAGAACTGATTAGAATTACTTTCCGTTCTTCCTGTTGACGCGAATGTTCCAGGACAAAATGTCCGATGGCCGAATGATTATGGGTTGTTTTTGAGGTGCTCTGCGCAGACTCCTTTCCCGAACAGTTGCTTGTTACGAGGTTTATCCAAGATAGCGATAAACTGACTGAATGATTCGAACTGTAAAGATTCGTTGAGTAGCTGCTTGAGGGATCCAAGTTTGCGTGTCTGATATTGAAGTTTAGAATTGTCCAGCTGATTGTTAGACTGATGGAATACTTTGGATTGTTTTTTTAGATTGTTTGACTGCTAGCAGCTTAGTCTTAATGGAAGAGAACCTTTAAATAAGATCTCTAGGACACAGCAAAAATTCTTCAATGGTTTGACCCTTTCACTTCGAGGAGTGACCAAAAAGAACTTTTTGCTTAGGATTGAAAATTTAAAAAATATCAACGCATGGGTTTTGTATGATTAAACTCCAATTTCTCCAATCTTGTATTATAAGAAGTATTTGGGATTGATACCAAAGATCTTGGTAGTTAAACGTTGAATTCTTTTAAAATCAATTTGAAAGCGAATGGCCGGGAGAAAGCCATACTTAAACTTAATTTCTCTCTCGGTTTCTATCAAGCCAACAGGAATCTCACACTATGGAATCTAACTATAATTCATGCAGAAGAGACCTTTTGACTCCTTTTCTGTTTTTATTTCATGAGGAAAATCCCTTTATCCTCATACATTAGAAGGCGCTCTGTCACATTTTACCTGGATCTTTTGAGCTTGTCATTTGGAATCCGTGTCAACCCTCGCCATTCGTAGCCATCCTGCTCCTTCTTTCTACAATATCATCTCTTTGAAGTTTGTTATTTCAATTTTTCATGTCACTCAAAGACTTTTGTTTAGGACGCAGGATATTGCTACGTGGCTCCCTTCCACCGATATAGTGTAATCTAGAAAAAGACTCTGAACTCCCCTCAGAAAACTAAGAAGTGCTAACGTCTTCATTCCTCCTTTAGATTCTGGTATGAAAGCCCATCCACTTTTGATCATTCTCAGTTGATTCAAATCAAACAAACGTCGTTGGCCAGCGTGTTGTGTGACAACGGGGATGCGATTGACCGGGTTCAGCGGGACGTATTTCTCCGCGCCACCTACCCCGAGGGATATGTGTCGTGTTCTTCCATTCCCCGCATGGATCTCCGCATGTGGAAATATTGCGAGCATGGTTTGTATCAAGTCACTTAAGTAATGTAACTTCATATACGAGTCGTTGTTTTTCAATCCTATTTTTTTTCTTGGGGAACTTAACGTGATCTGATATACTACCTCTCTGCAATTGTTCCCATGCCACTACAAATCATCCCCTTGGTGTTGCAAAGAGTTCTGTATTTTTATCTTATTCATTTTTCAAGATCTACTACCACAAATTACACAATTCGCAGCACTAACATTATTATCTAACATACAAGCATGCCAGGGGCACTGGCTAACCTACATTACTTGCTTTCACGAAACTGCACTGTTCCTTAAAACAGTACTTTGTCAAATACAGAAATAATGTAAGTAGTGTGTGGTATTAGAACAGGGTTGTGTCTGGCAATATCGCCAACTTGATTCGAAGTCCTGCTAATTACGTATTCCTGTCTTCAGGTCACTGCTCCACCCCAGACAACACCCCTACGTTCAGTAATCATATTCAGGGACGTTTGTTTAAGCGATCAGTGGAGGAATATTTCTCAGAAACAGAAAATCAAGAACACGAGGAAGAGGAAGAAAATAATGATCCGAACTTGGAAGAAGGAGAGAAGCTTGTTACATCGCCAACCGAGGACGAAAAAGAAGGAGTAATTGAGTTTACCTCGGAAGAAAACATTTTGAGTTTGAATAAAAGAGTTCAACTTCTTGAAAATACAGTAGCAAAAATGGCTAACACTTTGACCACATTAGAAGACGCATTTAAAAGTCTACAAAAACAGGCGAGTGCCTATCCTGAGAAGTCGTGTTAAAGCTAGTTTCAAGCGCCATATTTGGAAAAGTATTATACGTATTATACGCTTGTAAAATGCATGAAAGACGCGTGCGCTCAGTCATAAATTGAACCAAGATTTCGTCTCTTGTTTGACCCGTAAACATGTGGAAACGCTGTGGCTATTGTCTTTGATTTAGTTCTAAACTTAATGATTCATCAAAATTATGTAACTTTTTAATCCAATTGGTCTAAGATATCGGAAGCATTGATTGAGATGTTTTATCCTGTTGTCACGAGCGTGGAACAAAGAAAAAATTTGGATTCCCATGAGGAATCGAACCTCAGACCTTTGGGTGAAGCATGAATATTGAATAGTGTTTTCCTATTTTATACTTAATATACTGCTCATTTTACTTGTAATAGAATTTGTATGAAGGTAGCTTATGTAACCAACTCACCAGCTATGAATTTAAGAGAAGTTTAATTTTTTTGACGACTCGATCGAGCCCTTCTACTTATACGTCATTGCCAGTATACATAGTATTACGAACATAACGCATTAAAAACGGAACAACTAATTACAAGATTGGAAATGACATAGAACAAACGAATAACAGGAAACACGAATAACAAAGGAAATACCAATAACATAAATGCGACACTCGACGACAGGGCAATTTACGTGACGATTTTGGAATACGGCTGGCATAAGAACGTTCTCGGGATTGCATTTTAACTCGAGCTCTTACCTTTAATTTGCATGATCCGCGCGAAAGTCGAACTTAAATGAATGGCCGCGCAGACTGGGGCTAGGCAGGTGAATGCTTTCTACAGCTCACAATCAAACTGATATGCTAATTCTTTAAACAGGTTGGAGAAACAAAAGAAAAAGCAAAAACGAAAGAAACAAGAAGTTGTGGAGTTGTTCAAGGCAGTGCTCGTCAAGAGGGTGAAACGTGGCAGAAAGATATTTGTACCCATTGTTCATGCAAAGTAAGTGACTTTGTTTTCATAATCTTCAAATCAAGTGTAACCACTTCTTTGTCTAATGCAGAAGACCTTTCTCCCCTTCTGTTCTGCTGGTATTGCTGTACATTTTGAAAATGTTCGCCTGATCGATGACTCCTATGTTGTGATTTGCAGTCCGTATTAAACCTTTCTACCATTGGTCATTTGTACTTCATTCATATTAGGTACTAATCTACCTTAATAACATGTTATTTAGAATGACATGTAGATGATATTGCATGGCCTCGCGTGGATCGATGCGAATGAAATCTTCGAGTGAAGTGTTATTAAAAATGTATCCATGATGGTAACCAGGAGGGATTAGATTTGGGAACAGGGGCTCTCCTTGTAAAAATTTGTGATGTACCACCTCCTCCCTGCCGCTCCCGCCTCTGCCAACTCCTCCCCCCTTTCGACCCTCCCCCTTCTACCCCTCCCCCCTTCCGCCTTCCCCTACCACCCCATTCCACCCCCTCCCTTTGGTTCATTAAGTACTGGGAGTAACTGTTGTCCCCACAGTGCCACTATGCTAAGGAATACTGTCTGCAGTGATCATATGGGGATAACAAAAGAACCCTTTTTTTGTAGGACGGAGAAGTTCAGTGTAATGAAATAATATGCAAAGAGGTTTCATGTAAGGAATATTACCAGGATGATAATGAATGCTGCCCGCGTTGTTTAGGTAAGTTGGAAAAAAGAGGTTGAGTTTTCTTCTTTTAATCCCTTACACCATAACATCAGTATGCATATTCTCCATACTGCTCTTTATACATTTTCTAAGGTGCTGACACTGCTTTCACGCTGCGTTAGAGGAATTTAATATTTAAGAGTTTTTTCTGAGACTGAAAAAAAATGAACAAGTGACTGTGTGTTTAAAATAATTTGCGTCCGGACGAACTGTAGGCAAAAACGCAGATAGAGTGTGATCTATTTGTACAATCTTATTCCGAAATTACAGCATTAAATAATTCTTTATTTGCACAGAGTAAAATGGTGGCTTTGCTTGTCAAGTACCACGGTGCATCAGCTGTCACTTATGCGGTTACCATGGAAACTACCTGGTCTCTTATAGCAGTCAAGGAAAGATTCTAAGTGAGACTGATGTAACTTAAAGCGACCACGGAGACCTCAGGCGTGTATTTTAACATGAGATTCATTTCTTGCTTGCAATATGCTGCAGTGCCTCGGGCAGAGATTTTTCTTCTGTATGGATACTATATCTTAGGAGCTTTTATGGGATAGATAACATAAATTGCGATGCTGTTTGGTAAAAATGAGGATGATTTTTTTCTAGATCATGCGCTTTAAAAGTCAATTGCATTTTGTAAATTTTTGCCATAAGTTTTTTTTGAGGTGAATAGTTAAGAAATGATAATCATGTTTCCAAATTCTTTTTTCTGTTTTGTCATTTCTTTCTTGAATCAATGAGATTTCTGTCGAGATTTAGGGCTTTTTCTCCCTTCGCTATATGTGCAGCCCAGGGTAACAGTGCTTATTGCGTGCACTGATTGCCCAGCTGGGAAGTGATTGTCAAGTACTATCCATCGCCGAAAAGACAAAACCGCGCGTCAAGAGTTAAATTTGCGATCATGCTTCCTTATATTGACCGATAGAAATTACTTCTTTAGTTATCTTGTGGTATTTATCAAAACAATTATTTCTCTCTGTTCGGTTAAATGGTGGATATTCACCTCTCTGCTTTGCAGTTTAGTAAATTTCCTGCACATTTCACATTTGCTTCGTTGAATAACTGTTGACTGTATTCTTATGGACTTACATCAAAGTCATCTGCGTCCGAGACGCATTGAAGAGAAAGATTATAAACACAGTCTTTCAAGTATACGACCAGGCAGTGATTAGCACGGCGGGAGGACCGCTCTGTGAACACAGCCTTGCCGGCATAAAAGCAGGCTCTCATTAGCGCTGCAGGAAAAGCGGTAACCTCGAGTAGAGCGGGAGAGGTGCGCGTCTCGAGCCGTTCCTCGACAAATGGGCCGCAGCACCTATCGAGAGCCTACCAATAATTTCAAGTTCCACCAGAGTTAACTTATCCTGCAACACAGTTGTCATTTTTTGTTTTTTTCAGGCCAGCGGAGGTTAGCGCGAGCGGGCTCCACAGGCGCGACGAGCAAAGTAGCACCTCCCCTCGCGCGTAACTCGCTTACCACTCACACTCGCCCCGCTCTTGTACCCGCTCGCGTGCCGCTGGTCTCCACTGACCCGCAGGCTACACTAAGGGATCATCTATTCTGTCATATTCGTCTTGCATTGCTCTTTCACCCGAGATACGTTACACATTTCTAGCTCGTCTTACCTCTTCTATATTTCGAGTGAAAGGAAAGCTTTCTATATGATTTTCCAAACTGAGGGGAAACTTAGAAAACAGATAGGTATGTTACAGGTCTGTACAGGGAAAAACCTTCTACTTGATACCATATCAAACACTTCGGGCACAGTTTTCTCCCGATACGGACCTCATGTCCACGCAGGGTTTACTACATCTCATGCCGAGTGTTTCAAACGTTTCACGCAGTGTTTGGTTGGAAAATTATTAACGTTTGTTTTCAACTGCTCCAAAACCTCTACTTCATGTTACGGGTTGTTTTTGTTCGCGTAAGCGCCAGACATCGGAGTCGACCGCTTCTTTTGCTCTTGACCCTTTCACTCCCAAAAGTGATTAACACGTCTCTTCTTTCTACACTCTCCATACTTTATCCATCAAATCGGTCATGAGAATACTCAAACTTATCAGGTATAAATTGTTATCTTAAGCTAGCACCAAATTCTCGTAATCAATTTACAAGGAAAGGTATTAATAGCAGCTAGAGGGGAGAATTAGGAATCAGATCTTGGGAGTTAAAGGGTTTAGAGAAAGACAACGAACCATTGATTAAAAAAGTCCTATTTAAAAAGTTTGTCGATCAATAGTTCATTTTCCCTTTAATAGAACTTGGACTAAGTGCTCTGCTTCAGCTTGCGCCAGCTTTGCTATCCTTGTAGAGCTGTAGTATTGTAGAAATTTGGATAATGTTTGAACATCAGTAAAATTTTTAATCTCATGACGAGGCGTGGTCTTTACTTTACACAGGGGGCTTTTGGTTTAGAAATAATCCTTATTTTAACAAAGGAATCAAACGAAGGGTTGGCGTAAAATACACAATAGGCTTTGTTTTCCTTTACTAGTTGTTAAGTTTGCAATTGATGGGTTCTGTATTACCCACGACCCTAAAGAAATAAAAAAAACCCTTTCAGAGCGTTATGCGTTATCTAAGAGGTTGGAAAGCCAGAGAGGAGTTGAACATGGGGAGGTTGGGTAGTGGCCTAAAGTAGTTTTGAAAAGCAAAGTCCAGAAAAAATGACCAGATTTAATTCCTACATCATTCCATTCTTCATCAACCAATTTAATTTGATTGTCCTTCACCTTATCATTCAAAATTATGCTCAGTAGCATGACTACTGCAACCAAGGTGACCAGTCCGATCACAAGAAACACGCAATGAATTACTATTCTACTAAGTTCTTTGGTATCATTGCTGGTCTTGCTCTCAAGATTAGAAGCAACTTCCTAATATCCTCTCTCCAGAGAGTTAAGAGGAATACTCTGGTCTAACAATTTGAAAACTTTATGTACTGAAATAACAGTAAATCATAATGCTATGCACTTTGAACTGGGTAAACCATAAATGCACAATAAATAGGCAAATCCATGTGCAAAATTTTACACCTTTAATTCAATAGAGAGTTCTTTCTCACAGCAAGTAATACAATTGTATTTGTCAAATAAGAAAAGTTGCTTAAAAAAGAAATACCCATAACTGTAGTTAAAAATATTCAAACAGTAGTTTAAATCATTGCCAGTGGGAAATTCATTGTTTCTTCAATAACCACAAAATATTTTTCTGAGATGAAAGTTCATCATACCTCAAAAATTTTAGGATTATAATTTAGTTAAAGGGGAGGGTATTATCCAGCTTTTGGCTTTTTATTTGCAGTGGCCAGAAGTTTAGTGTTTTTAACAATATCAGTTGGACTAAAAGATGATGGCAAAACATTACAGGCATGCATGAAAAAGCACAGATCCCAAATGAATGCTGCAATTGGGACAGAAAAGAGAATATGTGGTGTGGCCTGGATTGGGCATTAATTTAAAGAATTCCTTCAAAAGCTTCAATATTACATAAACTGTTGGATATCTTGAGTGTTAGAGATTTGATATTTCATTATGCACGCTAGGTGATATAATGTATCATTACATCAAAAGAGTTTTAACCCACCCCTCTCCCCCAACTTTTGAATAAGTGCTGCCAACAAAGCCATAGGGTCAATGAAATTAATGAAAAGAAGTCTCTCACTATTATCCTTGAATTAAAGTAGAACTTTGTTGTATCCAGTTTTTGAATAAGCACCACACTCAAATCAGTGCTGCCCTCAGAAAAAGTGCATTATTTGAGATGCCAACAAAATTGAATTAGCACCACAGCTCTTACTCCAGTAAGCACAGTACATGTGCCTTTGTGAGTTGCCAGTCAGGCGGCAAGTCAGGCTGCACGTCTGTAATGAATGTGCTGTATGCTCACCAGATTTGTAGGTTACAAAAAGATTACAGAAGTTGGAAATAATTTTCTATCTACGGTTACAGAGTTACAAAGACAGATAATATTATGTAAAAATATGGAGTCCAAAGTTATTTTTAGAAAAGAGAGGTCTTTGGTTATGATGTAAAGGTTGGACTATTCAAGATGCAAGAGAAATTAAAAAGTTTTTACTCGATAATCCCTCAAGTAATTTCTATAAATTGGTACAGAGGAGAATTTCTAAAGTTCAGGGATAAAATAAGATTTTATCACCTATCATGTCCAAACTGGGGCAAACTTGTATTTCCAGAATTAGTAATAATGCAAGCATGGTAACCTACCTACCAGATGGTTTGTCATGTAACCCTTAAACTCCTGAGATCTCATTAGTAATTCTCCTTACTGTCTGCCAAATGATTCTCATTAAGTTTGTATGGAGAATTTGGTATTGGATTAATCAGTAATCCCACAATTGATATTTTTCTTAATTCTCATCACTTGTCTGCCTAATATTTTATTGATATTATAAGGTGAAATTCTGTCTTGGTCAATCATGGGAGTTAAACGTTTAAGAAAGGTTTCAACAGAAGTAATACAATGTAATGATTTCACAAAAGGTCAAGGATCAATTCTGAGGAGACTGCATATATGGTTTTGAGTGTTTAAAGAATGATGCAATTTATGTGCATCAGTAAAAGAAATGTTGGAGCAAAGGGGGAATTTCATCATAAATCAGACATCTTTTGAGGTACTGAAAACATAACTTCTTATCATATTAACAGTAACTTTGAGTTGAAACCATCCTTTTGGCAGGAAAGATTGTAAAGTTTTGTCTGATATTCAAGATATTTGAACCATATTTCATGGATCATAAACTAAACATGCTTCAGTTCTTCTCATTTCAATCCATCTAACCAATAGCTTAAAATTCAAGTAGCAATGCTGAGCACTTACAATTGAGTCCCCAAAATGTTGTCACCGACGAGGATTTATTTAGGCACCAGGTCAAAAAGTGAGAAACATTTTCAGACTTATGTTATGTTCTGAACCAAAAGATAGTTGGACTCAGGATATTTACATGAACATCAACATTTATTTCATAATTTATCATACTAAGAATACATGTCCTCATGTTTTCATGATCTTACAAGTTATCATAATAACTACTACTGACACTACTTTAATTAAAGCAACATGATCTCATAAACAAGCTTATGATGTATTATATTGATTATATGTTCTCATGTTCTGGTGACATCCAAAGTTAGATTTGTTCATTTAGTCTTCCTGTTTACCCCTCAAGGTTCTTATCCACTGGCTTTGGATCGATTCCCCCAATGACATCATCAATATTTTGCCTGTTTATCTCCCTCCCATTATCAGGTATGTTTCCTTCAGCCCCATCAACAACACTAGCACCCTCCCTCAAATTCACATCATTTTCCTTCACTATTTCAGGAAAAATGCTCATGTGATTGCACTCACACTCATTACATTTCAAAGATGGCCTCATACCCCCTCGACCTCGTGAGAACCCGCCACGCCCACAAACTCCTCCCCTTCCCTGGAACCCTCGAGGGAAACGCGGGTGGCCCCGAACAGGAAAGGGACCGAAACTACAGTCATGCATTTCTGGGAAATCATCAACACCTCCTTGTTCTGAGACAGGTCGAAACGACGGTGGAAACGGGCAACTAGCAAGAAAACAAGCACGAAACCCGCCGAATCCTCGAGGACCGAATCCTCGAGGACCGAATCCAAAGCCTCGATTTCCTCCAGGAAATGGACCTGTAGGGGGAAAATTTGGTCGAGCCATGAAACCTCGAGAAGAAAAACCACCTCTCGGAAAAGAAACATGTAATGCCTCACAGCTTCTTCCTCGGTTAGCGAAACTGCCCCTTGAACAAGGAAGATGATCCCACGGCCTTGAAGGTGGATCCTCATCTTCACGACAACCTCTTGGATTGCATTTTGGACATGAAACAATTTCTCCGCACTCTAAACATCGGAAGCAAATGGACTCCAATTGCTCGTTGCAGTTTCCGCAGTGCTGTGGTTTCTCTTTGCTGAAAACGACAACCATCGTTACTTCTTTCAAGTAATATCCAAATCCTCTTCGCAGCAGTCTTGATAACTTTAAAATCCGGTTGAATTCTCAAATGAAAATCTTGCAAAAAATCCTCACTTTTATATCTTTCTTCTACGGCGCTTGCGCAATCATTTTACCGTGACGATGCAGTTCTAAATTTAGTTTGGATTAGTAAGCGCCGAAATAGACATTACTTAACCATTAGATTACATCATATCAGACACCCACAAATATTGATGAGCTAGCAATGGTTGGAGTATAAACATTCATTATAGAATAAGAAAGTCAATATCATTATTGTCTTGAAAATTTTAGCTGTTTTTGAGAGTTTGTATTGCTTCGGAATGCGAAAGTTATTTTGTTGCGTGCCTTACTGATGAGCTGATCGAGTCACGCAAGGGAGATTTTGATAATACAAAACGTGTAGTCTTCATATATTTAAAAAAAATTGTTTACATGTTCTGCCAATTTGTCAAAAGTGGCTGAGTGTGCCAGGTTCTCGGTGAATGAAGACAAACCAGAGATCTGGCCGGTTGAAAAATGCCCTTGATTATATTCCTTTTCCAACCCCATCCCCTACCCTAAACAAGGGCATATTTCGACATCCCGACACCTTACTGTCAGAAACTTTTTTTTTTTACTTCTGGTAGGTTCACAGCTTGTTAGGGCGCGCTAATTTGCGCTGTGACACAGGTAACGAGGCCAGCGAGACTCGGGCCGGTTAGCGAAGCGAGCGTGCAAGAGCTCGGCGAAGGGTCATTTTTGTTCCAGTACCCTTGCAGAGCTCTCGCACTCTTATATTGTTCGCCTGCTCGCCACTGACGTGTGACAGCACCGACGAGAGCTTAGCTTATTGCCAGGCGAATACCTAAAAAATTTAGTCAAATTCTTTGGAAAAAAAAATTCTTTAGGCTCAGTACCAAGATATGGCAGGCTCAGCGGCTAAGTTTGCCCTCTAAAGGGCAAGGCAGGGTGATAAAAATGGGATGTTCATGGTTTAGCTCGTCTCCTCTTACTAAGTGGCTTGAACAGGGTACCACGAGTCTCCCCGAGCGCAATAAAAGTTCCAAGTTTTATTTTTGACATTTCATACACCCATCCCATCATAGATATTGCTATCTTAAACCCTTAATGCATAAAAAAAAACCTCCTTAGGACAATTAGAAAATAAAAACAATTGAGCAAGACTATTGATGGAACCGTCGCACACAGACAGCTTTCTGTATGGAAAAATGACAATTTCTACACGTAGTGGCTCGATCTTGTAAATGATACATTTTTATTGAAACAGGATTTCCATTTAGAATAAAGACATTAGGAATAAATTTGGTTGGTTACAAGAAAAAAAATGGTTTTCAATAGAACAAGTCTGATTTACACAAATTTTATTACATCTAAAAACATGAAGCAACCTCAGCCGTGTGATCATTTTTTATTATACAGTCCCTGGTCTGCGAGAGAAACCTTTAATGTTCTATTTTTGATACAATCACAGGTGCATGAAGATTAACGATTGGCGAATCATAACTACTTACATGTCTTAAAACGGGATCTCTCACTGCTTGTGCTAGTTACTTTATTGAACATGTTCCGTGGAAAATGAAAGAGATCACCAGAAATATGATACCGAATCTAATCATGGGTTTCCCCGAATTCATATCTGAGAAATTAGCTCTTCAATCCCTCTCCATTCCCTCTCTTTCCCCGCCAGCCGTTTCTTGCGCGATTTATAGGTCGTAATTGTTTCATTGCACGCCTTGTCGAGGATATAAGTCACACGGAGCCATAAGCAACGAATACAGCCTGCACTTAAATCTGCATGGGTAAGTACCTTCTGCTAGCCATGTAATTGACATTGAAGAAATGTAAAATGGTTTCCGTGTTATCATAGCCTGATGTAAACACTTGGGAGGTTGGGAGAATCGAATTATTTTATAAAACTTATTAGTCAAGATCACTATTTCCTCTTTGTCCTCTTGTCCAACTTTTCCTTCGATTCATTTTAACGTGAAGGACTGGGAACTAGTCTTACAACCACGTTTTCAAAATGGCGGAACACGATCTCACTGCCCGAATGGGCTCTTTTTTAGATCGACATCTCGTTTTTCCCTTGTTAGAATTTCTCTCTGTCAAAGAGGTAAGTTTTAATTTATATCGTATTTTCATCGATTCGTTAACTTTTATGGTGAAGTTATAAGGAAATAGCTGTATATTTTTCAAAGTAAAAACTCGACGTATATGTATAAAACAAGTCTATTTCCTAGACGATTTTAAGCTAACAATCTGCTCATCTCATTACTTTTGTCTCGGATCTTAGATTTACGATGAAAAGGAATTACTCAAAGGGAAGTTAGATCTTCTTAGCAACACAAACATGGTAAGAAAATCCGAATAAAAAAACACTGAAATAATTAAATTATTTGACTAGGAGCTCTCCCTATTGAAGACATGCATACAATGTATGTCCCAAAAAATTTGTATCTCTTGAAACCATTTTGATTTTTCAAACTTACTGATCCTACTGAAAGGCATGATAGTTCCAAAATATATGGTACGAACGCTTAAATAACATATGTGTACTTAGGAGGCTTACTGTACTGAAAAGAATAATTACATCTAAACATCTGTGTTCTTTAACAATCCGGGCTTCTGTTCCATCCAAAAGTGTTTCAAATAATTTTGAAGCCGATTCGTTTTTCATAAAGATGACTTAAGATATTTTGGGTGTATTTGGTTCAAAACCATCTTAAGTTTTATAGAAAACAGTCTGGTAAAGAATCGTGTTATACTGTTCAGAAATTGTGAAGTAGGTGCATTCTATTATGCCTGAAGGAGTCATAGCACTCTAACTTCCTTGTCATTCTCAAGAGAATTTTACAAGACTGAAGGGGGAAAATAAAGATCATACTAGCCTTAAATGGTTTTAAACTACAACATACCAATACACATTGTCTTTCTGAAAAATGTTTCCAGCCATTTAAATTGTAAGTACATATATATATGTCCATAATTAATGATATTCATTATCTTGATTGTCAGGTTGATTTTGCCATGGATGTGTTCAAAAATCTCTACCCAGACCAAGACGTTCCAGAAGGTTTGTTGATATTGTTTGATAGCATGTGACTGTTAACAATGGCGTTTAAAATAATCCTTATTTAATATGAAATGTATGTTGTTGAACTCTGTAATCTTTGCATACATGTGTATATTTTCTGGACTAAAAAAATTACTGTTATGCTGTGGGTGATTTTCAAAACATTTTTAGCTTGAAGCATAAGGTTTAGCTTTATGGGGAACTGGTTAATTGGTTTTTGATTGAAATTTTAGGAGTACAGTGTATTAAATAGTTTGAATTAGTTTTATGATGGAATTTGGATTTGCATGCTCTTGTGGAATAGATTGATAGATGATTGCAACACACTTGTAAAAAGGGACAAAAAGAAAAATAATTTATGCTTTTAAATTGAAATTCTAGAAATTCATTCACCAGCTAACAATCTCTTTGAGTTTTCAGGCTCTTAAAATTCATTTGTGCATCTTGAATAACACATGTTTCCAAAAAAAGTATCAAATATGTTTAATGTTGTACTTTTCACTGTAGAGCTCGTTCAAAAGAGAACAGAAGTTGTCACACAACTGAAATATCTTCAGGCTCAGACAGAACCTATTGTGAAATGTTTTGAGGATCCAGAGTTTAACAATCAGATGCAAACAACAAGGTAAAATGAAATGAGACTTATACAATAAATGTTGTTTTCTTTTAAAATGTTGACATCTTGTATGTTAAATTTCAAGGTTAGCCTTGGTGTAATGCTCATACAGAATAGTGGCTGAATGAGTGATATAAACTATTGAATTTCATTATCAATTTGACTGTATACAGCAATTTTCTGTCAACTTTGATAAACCAAAAGTTGGAAATTTTCAAATAGTATTGGTTGTTTTAGTTTCCTTTAACCCTTTAACTACCAAGATCTGATTTGTAATTCACCCCTCCAGCTGCTACATATTTCCTTGTAAATTAGTTATGAGAACTTGGTTCCAGATCAAGATAGCAGGTTCTACCTGATAAGCTTGAATATTCTCATTACCTGTTTGCTGAAGAATGTATGGATATTATAAGGGGAAGTTTCATGTTAATCACTTCTGGGAGTTAAAGGGTTAAGCTGGTTTGCAAGAATAGGAAAATAAGCTCATTGGCCATAAAACATTGGTTGAAAAAAAAAATTCATAATCATATGTATACTACACTTAAAAGGGTCTAAGTCGTCATGTATTGGTGAGGTAGTGTTAGTTTGATAGTATATCAAATAATGAAATTAGCAGAACACTCTTCAAATTTGATCAGAAAATTTGCAATGGCCACTACAATTTTAATTTATTCTTGCATTCCATGAGTAGTCCTTATAATTTTATGAGCAACTTTTAATTTGTTGATTTATTTATTCATTCAATTTTGACAGAGATGGGCGACAGCTATTTGAATACCTGGAAAAGAACCACGGGGTTTGTATATTTTTGAATGATTAATATATAGTTAAAAGAATTACTCTCATGAGACTGACTAAACTCCAGAGCAAAGGCTATGCCTCTTTCTTCCCAGAGTTCTATATGACATAGATTCTATACAATGACTTTGATTAAGTCAGTTATCTTTGTGCTTTGTACAAATTCTGTTGCATCAGTATAATGCTTTAAAAATTTACTAGGGTGAAAACTTCAGGTTTTCTAGATGTAAGTTGCATTGTTCTTAGAGGTTAGGGCTACTTTTCGTCACAAGTCAGATTTTTTCCTTTTACCCCAGATACAAGACTAGAATGAGCTGTTTCATAACTTACGAAAGCTTTTGTTTTATTTGTTTACAGATTGAGCCAGAAATGTTAGACACATTGTACAAATATGCAAAATTTCAATACGAGTGTGGAAACTACTCTGGCGCAGCAGAATACTTGTACTTTTATCGTGTGCTGGTGAGTAATCTCAGAATTTATCATAGAAACCTTATTAGTTATTTCCCTGACAGAGCAAAACACCTGAGATCAAACAAGGCAATACAGTAGCTCTAACAAGCTGAGTTTGAGGTTTGGGTTCCAATTTGCAGGTGCAGTTTTTTCCTTGAAAATATGCCTATACACTTCATGATTGGGTTATAAATTAAGAGAGGAATGATAAAGATCCTTAACATACAGTTTGGAAGTTGGAAGTTAAGAACAATTCGTGTGAGATAAGGAGAGATTTTTATTTATAACAAAAACAGCTTTATATCCAAGGTAATTAAGTATTATCAACTGAGTTAATAACATTAATTGGCCACTATAAAGAGTTTCAAAGCTGATGTTTTGAGTGTAAACCCCATTATCAACTCAGTTGATAACACTAAATTACCCTGTTATACTCTCCCACCGATACAGCACCACAGCTTCTTTAGAAACTTACTCCCTTTAGCTCATTATATTCATTTTGGACAGCTAAATTGACCAATCACAGTACTTGTGGTCATGGAGGGATAAAATACTCTTTATTTTTGTTACAGGTTCCAGGGAATGATGATAGAAATACTCTGAATGCTCTTTGGGGTAAACTAGGTTCTGAAATCCTCATGCAGAACTGGGAAACTGCATTAGAGGATTTGAACAGGTTAAAAGATGTCATTGAGAGCAATGTGAGTATTTCAGTTCCCTAAATTGGCTGATAAAGAGCTCTTAAGTTGAGTCAGAAGATCACTGAAACAAGTAGTATAACATGACATTATGGTTCATATTCCTAGGCGCCTAGATCAATGTGCTTCAATTCTCTTACTCTTGAGATCACTGGCTCTCAATCTCTCACATCCTTTAAGAAAATTAGCTTAAAATATCTATTATCAATAACCACTTAATATTCTGCTTTGGATTTGAGTACAGACTATTATATAGCTGTCAACATGTTATTTCTGTATATCTGTTATATATATTAATTTTTTTATATTGTGCTACTTCTGATGGAACCTAAGCTTATAAGCCTTAATGGTTTTTTGAGGTTTCTTCACCATTAATCTTGTTTTTTTTTGTTTTCTTTATCAATTGTTGTAAACTGTGGTAATATTAGATATTATGACAAATGGCTTACTACTGATTCATTTGTTTATTTTGCTCTTTTGTTAAATTTACTGTCTACTGAAAAGCTGAAGCAAGCTAAGAGAATTTCAAAATGTCAAGCAAACTATTTCTGTTCCTGTTTCTCTTTTAAATTTTGTTCCAAAATTTGCATTTAATACATTTTTAAGTTTACAAAACATGTTTTGACATTCTCATATCATCTTCAATTGCAAATGTCTGGGTTACAATTTGAATTTCACTTTAAAAAAAGTGTTGTGGAATTAAAATATAATACAGATTTGTGAAATGACATTGTTTAAAATTATATTGAAATCTCCTATCACAAAATCAATAGTTAATCTTGAAAGCTCTTTGTCTTCAATATAATTTCATACAGTCTATCTTACAAGGTGACATGTCTTGCATTGCTTCTTCAGAATCAGGCAGGAACACTCCAACTGCTGCAAGAAAGAACATGGTTGATTCACTGGAGCTTGTTTGTGTTCTTTAACCATCCAAAAGGAAGAGATCTAATCATTGATTTGTTTCTCTACCAACCTCAGTAAGTATGAGAGACATCAGATCTTTGCTGTGATCTCAAACGAAACTGTTTCAAGCTAGCAAAGTTGTTGTCTTCCTTCCCAGAAAAGCCCTCAGCTCTCTTATCATAGTGAAGTTAGCCTTTTCAGTCACTAAACCAATCAAATTTAACCTTGAGAATATGTGTTGTAGAGAATATAGGTTGTCTCAAAGACAGAAACATTTTTGAAATGTTGTCTATGGAACAGTATGGAGAATGGGCTTATTTCAATGTACATAATAATAACTATAAATTTTAGGATGAAAAGGCTTAAATCTTGGACATGCTGTTCTTAGTAATTTGATGTTTTCCAAGAAATTCCTCAAATTTTTCTCCTATTTATTTTTTGTATTTAGATACCTCAATGCAATCCAAACCACATGCCCCCACATTTTAAGATACCTCACAACTGCTGTCATCACTAACAAGCGCAGACGAACAGTACTCAAAGACCTGGTAAAAGTCATTCAACAAGAGTCTTACACATACAAGGATCCAATTACTGAGTTTTTGGAATGTCTCTATGTCAATTTTGACTTTGATGGGGCTCAGCAGAAGCTAAGAGAATGTGAAACAGTGAGTGTACCTGTTGTTACTGTTGTAAAAGATCTATCTTTTTATATGCCTTTTGTGGTGTAGAAGAGGGTAGTTGGAAATGATTTTTGTTTTCTGTCAGGGTTCCATGCTGAACTTTTTTCAAAGTGCCATCTGGTTCCTTAAATTACAAAGATTCCATTAAGATGTGCATGTAGTTTTGAATGCCAGAGGAAAAAAAAGGATAGGAATGCATTTTCTTGAAAATTGCCTTACCATATACTTGTATTATAGCATCGATCATGATGTTTGTCTTGGAAATGAGCAGTATGTCTTGCAATTTGTTTTTGGAGTTGTGTACAATGTACCGTATTTTTTCACCCATAAGCTGAGTGATCTTTTCAGTATTTGACACAAAATTTTGGGAGATTTTTTCAGGAGAAACATGGTTTGGCTTATAGCAGAGGGTTTGGGTAGTTCACAACATCTTAAGGTTCAATACATGTACTTGGACAACCAAGGATAAGGTGGCAAATATTTATTATAGAAATCTAGAAGTTACTGTGTGTTTCCTCAACCCAGGACCACACAAGACAATACAAAGTAATTAATATTGCTTAGCTTGTTACAAACTACTAGTTGCCAAATGGGTGATTTTTGCTGCAAGTGAGCCACCAAAATGTTTTCAATTTGTCATGGCAACTAAAATGGTTACAGCACAGAGTACTGTGTTCAACAGCTGTATTATAATGCTACTGTAATGGAGAAGTTTGCCTGGTGCCAGTTCTCAGGTGTTAACATTCTTTTTCATAAGTAACTGCCAACAGTGAAATACACAGCTGTGCCCGTGCCTTTGCCTTATGGCAAAACTAAACACAAGAGCATGTTTGCAGGCTAAACAGATGGTAGTGAGAGGTCAGAAGATGGCCAGTAACTGGCCATTATTAAATCCTTGCTTAAACAAGGTTTGCCTGTTCTGATTGCTCTCCAGGTACTGCTAAATGACTTCTTCCTTGTGGCCTGTTTAGATGACTTCATTGAGAATGCCAGACTGTTTATATTTGAGACATTTTGCAGAATACACCAGTGCATCAGTATAAGGTTTGGAGCAAAGTAAAACTTGATTATCTTCTTGATCTGTAATGGTTTGACCACATTTAGTGGTAAATGGAACTGTTAAAGCAGGTTAGGTGTGAATCAAGTTTCAAATAACCCTATCAGACAGATCTATGCGAACCTAATTGCAATACTGCTGTCACAGAAGAATCCAAAAAGCAAAAGTTGAAAAATGCTAAAGGCAAGGTTGGAATTAATTTGCTGATGAGTTAAAAGTTATAAGGGCTAAAAAAAAAGATGTGCAATAAAACCATTTGAAGTTTAATTTTTGGAATATCTTGTTTCCAGTTTTCCTATTTGGAAATGAAGAGTCACATCAGTGATGAGGGGGTTAGCATTGTCCCCCAGATAGTTAAATTTTCCTTGCAATCAGAATTTTTTTTTCCTTTTTTTCGTGATTACTATATTCCAATTAGGAGCATCTTTCTGCATCATATTAACCACTCCATGAGATGATCGTGAAGCACCCTTTGAAGCAGTGATTTTAAAGCAGCAAAATAGATTGCATTGCTGTAATATTCTTCAAGTGATTGCACTAAAGCAATTTTTTCAAGTAGTACAATATCATGTTGCTTTCCTCTCCTAACAGCATGCTTGCTGAAAAGTTGAATATGACTCCAGAAGAAGCAGAAAGGTGGATAGTTAATCTGATCAGAAATGCAAGATTGGATGCTAAAATTGATTCCAAGTTGGTATGTCTAAGGCCTGTTAACATAATAGTACATTTGCAATGGAGTTTATGCATACTGATGTTGGGGTGTGAAGGAATGACAGGCCAGTATGCAATGTTTTCAGTTGTAATTATATTTCACAAGACAGATGTGATGACCAATTAATTGGTAGCACCGTGGACTTTAGGTTGAAAGAGTCAGAGCCTTTGGAGAAGTAGTTTGTTACCCAGAGGAAGAAAATCTTGCCTTAATTGCTTCATGGGAGATAAAATCTGATAATGTGGGCTACAGAGCTTGTGTGCCAGATGAAAAATATTGGGTAAAAAGCTGTTTTAAACTGGGCTGTATAGCGTGTGGGTAGGCACTTGTTATAAGCGCTTCAGAATGCACATTTCTCTGCTCGTGGAAAATTTGAGATGCATCAGGGAGAGGTTTCTAGGGGTCTGGCATCAATTATCAATGCTAGACCCTCTGCAGACCTCTTGCTGGTTTGCGTTGTGTAAGGCCTCATACTTTCCCACAGGTGAAGAAACACCTGGGCAGGCTGTAGGCTGTATTTGGTGTGAAGTGTAACTCTTAAATGCCATCTTCATGATCTGGAGTTCCCCTCATGGATTGGGACTCCCATGTTCATCTTTCTTGGGGATTACTTGTCTTAATAAGCTTCTTCTCTATTTCAGGGTCATGTGGTTATGGGTACCCAGGCTCCCTCTGTTTACCAGCAAGTAATAGAGAAAACTAAAGGCATTATGTCCCGCACTCAAGAACTGGCTCGTAACATTGAAAAGAAACTCAATGTAGACAAGACGGGATATGATGGGGTAAGAACCACGTACAAAAAATATTTATATTTTCTGTTTGACTGTGCGTGTATTACAAGCTTTGTTTGTTTGGGGTTTCTTTTTCATCATGGGTTGAACGCTTGTCAACATTCAAATGATTGTCCAGTTCTTTTTTTTGTTCAGTTTTCCTTACTTTTCTGTGCAACCTGACGATTTTTATGTGAACAAGGAAAGCTCCACTGCTCCCATTCTGTTTTAAATGTACTCTGTCTGCAATATAAACAGCTGCTTATCCAATTTACTCCGTCGATACAATCATTAGATAATGTCTTTGATATCACTACTTGTCTTCTTAATCTCTTACTTATTTTTGTCTCTTTAGGGTCCATGGGATGCATACGATCCTTCTGGATTCTTCAAGCCCTAAACAATTGAACACTTACACTTTTTAGCGCCAAGTTTACGTGTACATCACATGCAAACTGTAATCTCTTAATACAGTGTATTACAAAGCATTATTTACTGATCTCAATCAGGCACAAAAAACTTAACTTGCTCTTCTGAACTGAAAAGTATATCTTGGGAAGGGGCAGGGGAAACGGGGGGGGGTTAAGGGAAAGGAAAGGGTTGGGGAGGGGAAGGAAGAGGGCAGGGAAGATAGAGGGACTGGGATGCCCATGGGCACACAGCACCCCCCTCCCCATTGGGAGGTAATATCCTAAAGAACAACTGTGAAAAATGGCTGTGAGGAAGGGGATGGGAGGGGTTGCTCTCTCACTCGACAGAAAAAGATCATCCCCTTCCTTTTACAATGAGATTTTCCCTTCTCCTTTTCTAAGGTGTACATGTATCAGAAGATACCCAGTTCTAAGTAGTAACAGGTTAGCCTGCTTGAACTAAACGTAAATCTTGGTTTGCACTTTCAAGGTGCACAACGAAATAATAGCAAAAAATAGAAAAATAAACGTAAAGACTCCGCTCCAAAATGCAATAACTTTTATTTCAAATGCTCCGATTATATTAACGCGAAAAGCCACCGACGGACTGAAGTATGAGCCCGTGAGCAGGCGTTCATTACTGAGGCAGCGGCACTAGCATTTCTTTTTGCCCGTGAGTAGGGTTAACCCTTTAACTCCCGAGATCTGATTGTTAATTCTCCCCTCCTGCTACCGAACATTACCTGATTAATTTGTGTATTCTTATTTATTGTTTGTTGGATAAATGTGTGGATATTTTAGGGAGAAGTTACATGTTAATCATTTCTGGGGGTTAAAGGGTTTAGGCCTTGAGAAAAGCGAGCCAACGAGAGATCTGCAAGGGATCTTGCACCGTTAACCCTTTAACTCCCAGATCAAATTTGTAATTCTCCTTACTGTCAACCATACAATTTTTATAATTTTAGTTCAGAGAATTTAGTATTGGATCAACTAATCATCCCTAAATTGACATTTTTCTTTATTCTCATCACTTATCTGATTGATATGGTATTGATATTTTAAGGAGAAATTCTGTCTTGGTCACTCATGGGAGTTGAAGGGTTAATGCGATGCTTAACTCCGTTTTGTGATTGATGCAGAAAGCACGCGCCACTCTCTCAACCAATCAGATGCAAAAGTAAAACCCAAGCACGACTTGGTGTCCAGCGCTTTCCCGCGCTTTCGGCAGTTTCCTTGCTTTTACTTAGAGTTCTTGTGTATGGGGTATTTTTCTTTTTATTGGCTTTTATGATTACTTTCTTTGTGGTTTTGCCGCACTCGCTTGGAAAGCGCTCCATTGTTTATGATTTAAATACTGGAGGCATCAAATAATCCGACAAAATGCTTCTTGTTTCATCGCATAAAATATATTGACTTTGTAAACAACCCGCAAATAGTGGTCTGTGAATTTAACTGTTCCCCAAACTTCCATGAACGACTCGTAGCTTCTGTTTATTTGCATTCTCGCGCCATTCAGAGTTTAGTCTTCGTTCCTCCTTCACTCATTATTAGAACGGAGACTTCTTGTCGAACTTCCCCAATGTCCGCTCAGCAAGGCAAAATTCTTGGTTTCCAGACTATCAAGGTTTTATGCTCTGTAGACAAGTTATGAACCAAATTTTTGGCAGCGCAAGGTTGTGGCGTTGCCTGGGTTTCGACGTGTATTGTAATTTATGAAAAAGTTGCGGCGTTTATTTATTTATTTATTAATTTTTGGTATCATTCCATTAGTTTTTCATGTCTTTTTTTTTTTCATAACCGTCAGCCAGTGATTCCATCTTTATTTTTGGGTGGAAAATGCTGTCAGTTTGTGACGCGAGTGTCAGAACAGTACTCAAAGAATCGTTGCATGGTCAACATGACGCTCGCGGCTGTCAAAGTCAGTTTTGAGGAAAGGTGCCATATTTTGGACGTTGAGAGCGAGATAAACCTGTTTTCTTCTGGTAAATATTCATGATCAGTAGGTCTTGAGAGCCGAAGATTTTTCACCTTTAACAAACTGTTTACCCTCAAGTAACGCGCATCAGTCTAAAGATCCTGAAAACTATTTGCGAAGAAGAGTTATACTCACTCATGTAGCGAAAAATATACAACCATTTGCTTCCCTCCGATTAGACATGCATTCCTGCTCGAATAATAAAAGCCTTCAGCTTTCAGTCTGCTAATAAAAGTCTTATCAATTTTTTCTCTTCATAAAACCTGCTGGAATTAAGCCCTCCTCAATACAGTCAAATGTTCATCTGTAAGGATGTACTTTGTAAACTCCATCCCATCTAATCTTGCCAAAGTACGGCTCTCATGATTTCATGGGTTTCCCATGCATTCAGTTTAACTGAACTGCAAGCAAGTAAAAGGTAGGACGGCAAGCAATGATGTTGGTCGCAAACTTGCACGTAGAGGCCGGCGAATCTCTGCCATTATGAAGCAAACGTTGTGATGAAGGGACAACAGCACATCCATAAAAAATACATACAGACCATGAAGGCAGTTTGAAGAAGAAAAAACAATTCTTGAACCATGATGCGAACCGAGTAAAAGTGGAGAGAGATGATTGCTATCTATTTATGAAAAACTATTATAATGTCAAATCTTTCTTGTTTATGAATTAGCATCAGTTTTGTAATTTTATTGGCTCGAATGCGTGAAACGAACGTGTAAATCTTTTTTAATTAGTTGTTTGGGGGCATGTGATGTTAAAGGTGATATTTCCATCAGTTTTGTGGAAAATCTTTCATGCCTCATCTGCTATACGTGATGGTAGATTCAACTTGGAGCATTTAGGCTACATCTCTCAACTTCGTCATAATATTGTGATCAGTGTTAATCTTTCGCATTCTTCGCAGTGGCGGATCCAGACCTTGAGCTAAGGAAGGGGGGGGGGGCGGTTTTTTGTCGCTTACCCTGCCGGCTTTTCTACCTTTTGCGATTCTTTTTATTTTACCTAAAAAGGAGGGGGGGCGGGGCGGGGTTAGATCTGCCACTGCTTCTCTATTCCTTTTCATTTCCAGTTTATTCCTGCCTCCTTAGAGTCTTTTTGCACTTTTAGTTGAAGTAAACCAAGCGTGCCTGTCTTTGGTTGAATGAAATGAATTAACCGTTATGATTTTTAAGGAAAGGAAAATAAAAGGGAAATTATATTCAGTTGTTCGTTTGGTTTCGAGTCAATACTACCCTCGATCGGCCATTGAATTGTGCGCCGGTAATTTCATAATCGCCGCGTTTTATTCTTTAGAAATTTTTATAATGACCGTGTTCTCCTAAGCCATCTGCTTAAATTTTAACTTTGTGTTCAACTTATTTGAATTTTTTCACATTGAATTTCACGAAGGAAGCGAGCCAAATCTTACCAATTAAAACCAAGCTTATTAATTTTTAATAATGTATTTTGAGAAGTTTTCTTGGCACTTACGATCATTACCATACAGCCCGATGTATATCCATCTCTGCATTTATTTTCAGTATTTAGGACTATCTTCAACGGCAAACTTTAGAGCAGACAATGATCCCGTGGTTCGTGGCTAGAAATGAAGTGATGTAAAGTTCTGGAATCTTTGATCATCTGGAATACGTGAAACTGGAGTCCATGTTAGAACAAGCCTCCCTCGCTGTCATAGTGCTCATCATTTATCTCGTGGCTGGAATGTGGGGAATATTCCTCGGCAAGGTTATTTTTGATCAATGCTTTGCAACTGCTTAAAACTCGAGCCATCATTCAGGAATACTGTTCAAGAAATCAGATGAGATGTCCTTACTTTAAAATACAAAGCAGCCAGTCACGTTGAAAGTTTTCAGAGCCAGCCGGTGATATAAGGTTTAATTCATTTGAATTCGCTCTGAGTTGCATTCGCACATGTCAATCAACCTGGTTCCTCAAACTCACGACTTTTTAAACGTGTAAAGTAAAGCAACTCTGTATTTCATGTTTGTGCTAAAAGAATGAAACGAAATACAAGATTATACAACTCAATGTTACATGGTATTACGAAAAATATCCTCAATTTCAAAGACCGTTTAATAGTAGCTAAAAGTAACGGTAAAAACCACGATAAAATGATCAACGACTTGAATTTTGATGTTCTGTTTACAATAGCTTGGCTGTTTGTTGCTCTTATGACTTTATGACTTACTGATAGACTGACTGACAGTGTGTCAAACTGACCGATTGATTAGCATGCTGAATAAAGGGGGTAAGTTTCTAAAGAAACTGTGACGCTGCGTCAGTGGGGAGTAATAACAAGATAATTTTGGTTTTGCAACCTGAGTTGAAAATGGAAATTGGCTATCGTAAAGAGTTTCAAAGCTGTTTTGAGCGTTAGTCCTTTGTCAGAGCGATTAGACGATTTTTGGGTTGTGTGTGTGTGTGCATATCAACACACTCACAAGCCATAATTCCTCCATTCGCTCTGACAAAGACAGACCGACAGACTGATTTACTGACTAGCTGACTGACCGACCGATTGACTGATTGATTGACCAACTGACGGACTGACTGACTGATTGATTGACCAACTGACCGACAGACTGACTGGCGTACTGACTAACTGACTGAGTGTTGACTTATTGACTGACAGACTTACAGACTGACTGACTGATTGACTGCCTGAATGATTTGCTAAATGACTGGCTGACAGAATTACTAACCTACCTAATAACCTCTTAATGACTAAATGACAGACTGACTGACTGACTGACTGATTAACTGACTGATCGACTGACTGATCGATTGACTGCCTGACTGCCTGACTGACTGACAAACAGACTGATTGATTGACTGACCGACTGGCTGACTGACAGACTGACTGGCTAATTTACTGACTGACAGACAGACAGGCGGACAGATAGACAGACAGATTGAGAGACTAAGTGACTAACTGATTTACTGAGTGACAGACTGACAGACAGACAGATAGACGGACTGACTGACTGATTGACTGACCAATTGACTGTCTGATAGACTGACTGACTGACTGACTGAATGATTGATTGACTTCCTGACTGACTGACTGACTGACTGACTAACAGACTGATTGATTGACTTCCTGACTGATTGACTGACCGATTGACTGCATGACTGACTGATCGACTGATTGACTGACTGATTGGCTGACCGATTGGCTGACTGATTGTTTGACTGATTGACTCACTGATTGGCTGACCGATTGGCTGACTGATTGTTTGACTGATTGGCTGACTGATTGGCTGACTGATTGTTTGACTGATTGACTCACTGATTGGCTGACTGATTGGCTGACTGATTGGCTGACTGATTGGCTGACTGATTGGCTGACTGATTGACTGGTTGACTGACTGATTGACTGACTGATTGGCTGACTGATTGGCTGACTGATTGGCTGACTGATTGGCTGACTGATTGGCTGACTGATTGGCTGACTGATTGGCTGACTGATTGGCTGACTGATTGACTTTTTGACAGACTGACTGATTGACTACCTGAATGATTTACTAAATGACTGGCTAACTGAATTACTAGCCTACCTAGTTACCTATCCATAACTAAATGACAGACTGATTACATGACCAATAGACTGTCCGACTTATGGATGAAAATGATGAATTGATTGAGTACTCGTTAATTGATTTAACCTAAAGACGGGCCACAGAGAGGTAATCCAGAAACTTTCCAGTCCGAAAAACGATGAGACTCATTTATTTCTGAATTTGTTATTAGGCAGCTGACAAGATTTCCGGTATAGTACTGAAATAGCAGAGAAAATATGAAAAAAATGAACTTATTTGTCACAGGATCATGTTTGTTTTCTTTAATATGGAGAATATACTGCAGTTTCCCAGTTGTTGACCGGTATCATTCGGGGTCAGATCCTTGAAGATAAGGCTAGCAATAATGCTGCAAGGAAGCGAATTAAGGGATTTTTCATTCAGTCGATTGCAAGAGTAATCTATCATCTCAAGTCCACGATGAGCATGCTAATAACATTTTCGTTTGATGAAACCAGAAACAGACGGCAAAGCGCCGGAACAGGCAGCGTTAATAGCAAAGTGTTCCGTAACAGGCATTCGACGCGAAGAATTAATTAGCAATTTTTACTCGCCGATCAAAGTTTACATAGCTTTTTAACTGATGCTACAAATACTAATCCTTGTATGATAAAATACATTACAAAGCGTCTTAATAAAAGCCAAAAGTTGAAAGTAGAAAATAAAATAATTCAGAAGAAAACTGATCGAGAAAAGAAAGTTGCATTCTACGTGTTTCTATAGACCGAGAGAGATATTTCCCGTAGAAAATGTGTCAGTACGAAGAACAACAAAATATTAAGATTCTTGGCTTGGTTTCTGTTCCTTTGTTGGAATTGCCCTAAATCTGACGAATTCTAACTTCGTATACTTGTTTCTGCCTTGTCTTTAATATCAAATGAACCAATAGTTTAATGAACTGCGAGTCCCCTGTTCATCTCAGAGCCGTTGAAATAAAGTATAAACGGCGATTTTCTTCCTAATGCGATAGTTTGAAGATCCAAAATTTTCTTGCACAACATAGAGCACCTTGCAACTTCTGAAGGCTGAGTCCAAATAGGTTGAAAACGAGGTGGCAAAATCGTCAGATTTTCGTCTAAAGGCAATCGTTTATATATCCATTCTCCTGCGGCTGTCCAGCTAGAAAACACTGCCCGATGAAATAAGCTTGCAAAAGTGCCAATGCTCCAATTAAACCAACTGCTACTGCAGCGAGAAAGATCGTCAATGTTCCGGTCATCACTTAACTTTGCTCTGTCCCACTCATACTAAGCGATATTGTTCTGTTTTCCAATGTTTATTTTCAAGGCTGGTTGTCATCTTCCTAGCCCTTTCATTCCGCGTCAATTCTGGTGTCAATTGTGCGTCGCACTCGACAAATCATCAATAATTGATTTCTGAAGTGGCTAAAAGCTTTCTTTACGGCTCACAAAGGACTCGACTCGATCGAGAATTTAGCGGCATAGAATTATTCAGCTTGCTGATTTTATTGTGGTGTCGATCCAACATGTATATCAACTCAGGTCGCATCGAGATAAATAAAACGAATTGACGAGCGCAGTTCTATTTCTATAACAATTTATCACTTCAAATTGCGACATGCATGTATAATGATGAGGGATTTTCGGGAATTCTAATTTTCAGGATTTTCTGAAACGATACAAAGATGTCGATGGTTTCTTGAGAGAGAAAAAAAAGGCCCTAAGACTTAGGATAGACCTTATTTTAATTTCAATTGTTGCCAAAGAGAGAGAAAAAAAATTTTGTTGATTAACAGGTGGCAAAGGGTGTGTTCAGCGTAAAACTGTCAATAACTATCTAACATTCATGCAAGTAAATCTCAAAACACTTGAAATTCCTTCAGAAATAACAAAAAATGAAAAAATGACCTTGCCAGTCGGACGGTTCTTTATCTCTAATTAATTCAATCGTTCTTACTTCCAAAAAGATAAAGAAATCTCTTTTTTGTGCAAGTAAATGTAATTCAATTTTTTAAAATTTGCAAGATGTAAATGCTGTGACAATTTTAATAAACAACATATTCGTGACATGGTGTTATCATTTTCTTCTTATTAAATGGTGTGCAGTACAAGTAAATAAGGAAAATCCAATTTTACAAACAGAATTTGGAAGCAAAAATTATGATTAATTCCGTATAATACAGCAGATAAATTACGTCTCTCCGACTTCAATTATGCAATATGTTTATTTTAAACAACCAGCACCTCTTCAAACTCTAAACATACCGTGCAATAATATTGTTACTGATAGAGGGGCTTATTTACATTAGATACTGCCCTTGGGTACGAACCAAGATTATGTAAAACACTTCAGTCCCGTTTCTAGAAAAAAACATGTTTCTTAAAGACGATTTTGGCAAATCACTCCAGTTTGGCTACAACCCATCTCTATGCTAAGTGTCTCATGCGAAAGGTTCCCTTACTTAAAACCCAGCGAAATATACTCTATATCTAAAACACACCATAGTAAAATTTACAATTGTTCAGTTTCGAGTTCCTGAGATTCAGAGGAAGCAACAGGTTCAGTTCCTTTCAGTTTCATGCAAACACAAGCACTCGACGTTTTTCTTCTCTAATACATCTTTTGCTCCGGATAAAATTTCACCAAGTAGTATCCTCCAGGAACACGGTATGTGGTCTCGCTGTTCCCGAGAGTACGGTCAGATCCAACGCAAAATTTCTTGTATAGATAGACCTGAAGTAACGTGAAGGCCGCCAAGGTTCCTACGAAAAATATCTCGCATAAAACCATGCTGTTGTCGTCAAATTACCTCTGCTAAATTCAGCCTTGCGCCAAAGTACGAGGTACTATCTTTCTCCCGCAAACTTTGTTGAAAACGTTCACTCAGTTGGAGTAATTATATAACTTTGATACTAGCCTCTGGTACTCACAAGTAAAGAGTTACATGTAGCTCAGTCCAGGGGTGGCTTCCACTAAATTTCACTCTTAGATGCCAATTTATGCGGAAACTGAGGTTCAAGTGCCAAGAGCAATGTGTACCTTAACAATAGACCACCAGAGAAAAGTTTAAATAGGGCAAAAGATTGTAATAAATTTTCATAAATTGGATGAACGAGCATTTAAAGGAAACTCGAATGTTTTTATGACAGAATGAAGGTGTTATCATACAATGAGAAAGAAAAAGAAATTAATTCAATGAAAAAAGGATTGGAGAAGGGATGCTAGGAATAAGGTAATTGAAATAGTATAGTTTGATCGATTGAAGTTATCTCCCTACCTACCCATCCCTTCAGTTTTTTTGTTCTCCGCGCACTAATTGACAAGAATTTGCGGAGGATCGTAGAGAAAAATCAAGAGAGCGGTGTGGGGTGGGGATACCCGAAGACCGCTGTGTCAAGTCTTCAAGTCAGTAAGTCAGCAACTACGAAGCTAATTATCTTACCACCTACTCGTCCCTTCATTTTTCGCTCTCTGCGGACCACTTGATAAGAATTTGTCGAATAGAGAAAAGTGAAATCAATAGGTTGGGGTGGAGGTACTAGAAGGCCACTGATTCAAGTATTCACGTCAGTAACCCCGCAACCTACCCATCCCTTCAGTTCTTTTGCTATCCGCGCGCCAATTGACAAGTATTTGTGAATAAGATGAAATCAAGAAAGTAGGGGGGGGGGTGGAGGTACCAGAAGATCGCCGAGTCAAGTATTCACGTCAGTAAGTCAGCAACTACGAAGCTAATTATCTCACCATATACCCATCCCTTCAATTCTTTTACTCTCCGAGCACTAATTGACAAGAATTTGTGGGTTAGAGAAAAGTGAAACCAACAAGGTGGAGGTTGGGACAACCACTGAGTCAAGTATTCACTTAAGTAAGTCAGTGATGATGCAGATGCTATTATTTCCCCACCTTCCCGTCCCTTTAGTATTTTTACTATCAACAAACCATTTGACATAGATTTGGGGAGTAGAAAAAGCAAAATCAAGAGGGTGGGGGATAAGTCAAGTGTTTGCATGAGTTATTCCATAAATGCAGTCATCCCTCCACCTACCCATCCCTTCAGTTTTTCTGCAGTTGGCACATAAATTGAAAAAACTTTGTGGATTAAAAAGTGAAATAAAAAGGGGGTGGGACACATAAGGTATTCATGCGAGTAATTCTGTAAATGCAAATATTACTCCACCTACCCATCCCTTCAGTTTTTCAGCTGTCAGTGCACTAATTGACAAAAATTTGTGAAGGACAAAAAGTGAAATAAAAAGCCCGGGTGGGATAAATACTATAACTGCTAAATCAAGTATTCACATTATAAAAATATGCAACAAAATTCAAATCACATGATTATTGTGGTTCACCTTTATTTACATTCTATAGGAATGAGACCACCGACTTGCAAAATTACTATTGGACAGTAACTGTTATAAAGACATAACAAATACTTTTAATTAAAATACTTCTGGCAACATCAAGAGCTCAAGCTATCTTGAATTACCAACCAGAGGAACACAATCAAAACTTCTTTTCTTATTATTTCTGTTGTACAAAAAGAGTTCCAAGGAGCTTACATGTTTAAGTAAATTTGTAAGATCCTTTGATATGCAACTCTGCTATCTACTTAAAAAAAAAAAAAAACCCAAAAAAAAACAAAAAAAAAAAACACTAAGTTTGTGCAAGACATACTGACAGTGGAGACAAATAAATGAACTAGCAAGATAAATTAAGCAGGATTTTCAATCCCCCCCTTTTTTTTCCCATCTTGCTTGCCACTGTTTTTCATCAATTTCCACAAACTGATTGGCAGGGAAGAGAAAATATTATGTAAACAATTATGAAAACAAAGATCTTCAAGTGTATCAACACATGACACTAGCACTTGAGATATGGTAACTGCTGCACTAAGAATCTTGCTCTTTTCTAACCAGTTTTACTTTTAATAGTAACAATCAAATGAAAGAATATCTATCATTACAAGATTTCTCTCTCTTTTTTTTTTTTTAATTTTTAAAAATTTTTAATCTGTAGCTAACTTAAAACTAATGCCCAACATATCCACTCTATATACTTTGTAGATGCTTTAAGGCCTTCATGGAATGTGGTGCAAGTTTCTTACAAGTCAGGAATACTGTGGTCCATGGTTTTCTTCATCAGTCCTTCGCCCATACTGTGGAAATGACAATAAATGATTTGTAAGTGTTACTATCTTGCCCATGCAGTGGAGCCTGTGGAACACTTATTTTGACCCTTTTACTCCCACAATCCAATAGTAATTCAATAGTAATTCTCCATACTGTCTGCCATACATTGCTTATAATTTCAGTTTGGAGAATTTGGTATTGAGTCAAATGATAATCTCTAATTGATATTTTTCTATATTCTCATTGCTTGTCTACTTGAGATTGTATTGATATTGTAAGGAGAAACTCTGTTTTGGTCTTTACTGGGGGTGAAAGGGTTAAATTTCATCATACAAAGATCAACATTGCATTGGGCAATTTCCCTGGAGCACAGGAAAAACACCACTCAAGGATTTCAATTGCTCAACCAAAATGAGAGCAAATTGAAAGAATTCTATTAACAACATGACTGAGAGTATATTTTGTCAAGGAAAATCAGATGTAGGGGAAGGGAGAAGACTGAAAGGCTCTCATTCAATAATAAATGTTGGAACAATGTTAAGTTTCACAAGGATCACATGCAACATCTGTTGATTGCAAATGTAACACTCTCCAGCCTCAAACAATTGTTTTCATTGTACATTCTTTGTTGTTTTGGAATACAGCACATGCAGCATTCAAAACTATTGATGTGGGCCTTTACATATTGTTTATTGGATTTACAGCAATAATCTTTTTCTCAAGGCTTGTGTGCTTGTGTCTGTGGAACATTTACTTTAAGAATTGCCCTACAAAAGTCAAATTGTGCAAAAATAAAATCTTACCATTTCACCATATGCTCAAAAATGAAAGTTGGTATGATTGTCAGTGTGATAGTCTGGCCTGCCTTCTCAAGGATTGCTTTGATGTCACTATCCTGTAAAATAAAGAAAAGAGAATAATTTTAACTTACAATTTTAGGGATGTGCACTACCACAGAATTATTCAACACATAATGGGCATTTTGTGAAACTTGTTGTAGTTGTTAGCTATATGCATAGCAAGTGTTGTACTAGGTCTAACTTACACTTTTTTTTTCAAAGCTTGACAACAATAAAAGTGCAGATGATTCAAACAAATTCATGCTTTCATTGTACAATGTAGATAGAAATGAGGTTGTTTGTTTCCATTTTTTAAACATCTACCCAACATATATCCTTGTCTGTGGTCGGTCATACATGTAAGTTAAAATTTCTAACTAAGCAAAAACTTTCTTTAAAAAATAAGACAAAAGTGTTAGAAACAATATTAAGTTTCTTGCAAAGTTACTACAGTTCAAACAAAGGAACAAGCATTACTCTGAACAAGTTTGAAATTGCTCCTGCCAGATTTCAGTCCCTGCTAGGGTAGATATCTCAACAAAAGCACCAACAGTCTATCTGCATTAAACTACTGCAGTTGCAATGCCACTACCCTTGTGCCCTCACTTTTAGCAGAGGAAAGCATCTTTAGAAGACAAAATTTTCCTACCTTAAGTCCAACCACATTTTGTCCATTTACTTCAACAAGGTTGTGTTCTGTCAACAGTCCATTCCTACACAACAATAAGGGTTTCCATTAAAGAAATACAGCAGCAAAGAATATTACAAATACATGAAAATATTTTCAACTTCTGAATGAAAGAAGGTCTTGCATCCCAATACAAAATGCCAGTAACCAAACATTTTCTCCAGAATATGATCAGTTCAAAGAATAACCCTTAATACATTTTGAGCAAATTTTTTTGTTGTGAATAGTTATAGACAAGCCTCTGTTTTCAAAAATACACCTTTTTCCTAATACTGAAATATTTTAAATGTCCTAGTGATAAAAGACCAAAGCATGAAGAAATTTGTGAAAGTCAATATTTGAGAATGAAAGACTACTGCAGTACATGAAAGTAGCAAACTACTGCTCCATAATTTTAATTTCAAGTTGTTTACCTTGCTGCAGATGTATCCTTGGCAATCTGAGTGATTTTACCATTTTTAAACACAAATCCAACATGGCCACTACTATCCTTCTGCATAACAATTGTTCGCTCAAATGGCCTGAGGAAAAACGACATCAAGCAATTTTATTACATTGTTTTTTTCTATTTCACAAGAGGATAAAGAAGAGTGTAAAATGGAGGCTTTAAAATCATAGAGAACTTCTCACCTGTCTCTAAGAGCAAACACAATTCTCTGTGCAGATGCATTCTTCAAAATCTTCATCACCTTGTCACCACTATAGCCTGCCAAAGTTTCACCATCGATCTGCAAAATCTGATCACCAAATCTTAACCCCCCTAGGGAAGCAGGAGAGTTTGCATGTACATACTGTACAAACACACCCTTGTTGATAGCCCGTACACGTAGGCCAACCTTTCCACTTCCATCCTTGCAGAGAATCACCTCACGGATGCCTTGCTTGATTTCTGCACGCCGGATGCCCAGATTGTTGTCTCCACTTACTGGGGCAACCATCCCACTGGTCTGCGGAATGGCAACAGCTGCTTGTGGTCTAGGAACTAGTGGACCAGCTGTGCTCTGTATACAAAAACAAAACAAAATTAATGCTGCAATAACTCCCCTTTCAACTTGTACTATGAGAAACTATGGGTAACTCCTCTTTACTTATTACACAAATGTAATCTTGTTTCTTCTCTTTATGTCAGTAATAAATTTATGGGGGGAGAGGGGCGTCTTATCTCTCAGCTTTGAGTGGGGTCACTATTTTACTGTGGTCAAGTAATTTGGTGTACTCATATTCTCCATACTAATCTCTCTACATTTCTCAAGGTAATAACAGGGAGAATTTGTTGGACAATCAGGATCTTCTAAAATTGATGATCATTTCCTTTATTCTTATCATCTTTGTACTTGACTCAAGTGTGATGATGTAAAGAGGAATTAGAAGCCAGTCACTTTAAGGGGTTTAAGGCCACATCAGCTTAACTCCTGAAGTCCTGACAGGGTTACCCATCACAAAAATGTTGAAAGACAGAGATTGAAAAATGGGTGAAACCTTTGCCTTCTAGGAATGGGTCAGGTGGTGGGCTTCTCCTCCAGGCCCTGAGCTAGCTGTAATTGAAATCTTTGTCAACCAGCATACAGTATGATTTCACTCTACTTACATATCCTGGCACATGTTGCCTGACAGCATCCTCAGAAACAGCAAGACCCATGTAGTCATTAAGAGAGGGATAGAGACTACTGGTTGGGGCAACCGGCCTGGCCCCTGGGACAGAAGCAGGAACCTGTAAATTGAAAAAAAAAAAACACCTAAGAACAGTGGTATTTATGAACTGTTATAATTTTAATTATAAATAACTAAGGGGTTCTTTCTTGTGGTAATTTTCCATGTATTTTGTCCTACCCCCCTCCTACCCTCAAAAAATAATCAATTGCTCAGAGAGAGCTTGAGAAATCAGGAAGAAAATGTAAAGGTGTTTATTTTTTCACAATGATGTCACTGAATCAAGTATCGAGTGTCGCGACCTTAATGTAGAATAATTTCAAAATACCAACAATTATGGCTGAGTTTTTACACCTATATAATTTAATAAGCACTTTAAATATACTAATGGGTGAAAAAATTTGTGGATGATGTCAATAAAATCGGTTATCACTTACTTGGTAACCAAGCGCAGGTTGTTGTGGGCGAGCTTGCTGAGCCTGATGCGAGAACAAGACGGAAAAAAAAAGATTACATGATTTCTTAGGTATATTACTTGCCTGATCGTTCATTTAAAGCTAGCACGAGAAAATACATCAGATCTCCTGAAATACTGGAGCTGACTACCCTGCAGTCTTTTACGTGACAAATTATTTTGCAATGAGCTAGGGAAGAAACCTTCTGAAGTCGAAATTCAGAAAGGAAAACTGATTCTAAAAGTTACAAAGCAATTGTCAGTTTTGATAGGATTGATGGACTGTTGAAGTAACATAACATCTAAGAAGGCTGAGGTTTATCGTTCATTCGTATAAATGTCAAAATAAAGCTTCCACACATCAAGGAAACCAACGACTGTCGATCGCTTTAAAATACCTTCGAGAGCCTTGCAAATTTCAGAAATCATACCGGTACAATTTTGTCGGGAATTTACGTCTAAAACTAAAATTACCTGTGCTTGAGCCATCTGATCAACCTTCATATCTTCTAGAGACGGATACAGAGACATCTTGAAAGATTCTTACTTGTAATAGGGAATTTACGATGATAGAAAAACGTTCACTTCACGATCCAGCTGAAATGTGGCGGCTTTCGGACTTAGATACATATAAGACGAGCCAAGACTATGTTTGGAACCCTGACGTCATCCTAAATCACATGACATTTACGTTCGTATTTCTCAATAAGGCATTTTTCGCTACGTCACTAAATTATCGACTTCTTTCGTCATCTCCGAAGATGTTTCGACTGGATAGCGTCATTTGGCGGGAAAAGGAAGCCATTTTTGATTTGATGTGCGATGTGAACTAACATGGCCGTCGCAATCGGAAATGGAAGATATTACAAACTTTTTCGTGGCAATTCCGCGCCAAAACGCTTGCTCATTGGAGAACTGAACGAGCCAGGATTACTGTCAAGTTCATTTATCCAAGGTTTGTGCAAGTTTTCGATGTCGAGTTTTATTATCATATGTTAATTTGTTACTTTTTCTTCCTCGATGGGTTTTCTTGGAAAACGACCGTCTTTAAACTTAAAGGAAACAACTATTATCAGTGCAGTAGCCTTTGGAAAACAGTACACTACAATCATATCCCATGAAATACATATCGCGCAACCGCAATTTTCGAGATTCTCGTTATGAAAAATAGCAACTCGAAATTAAAAGGAAAAACAATTTGAATACGGAAGCGATCCTCGTAGTTATGAACACTACTTACGTGGTAAAAAATTCAGGTCCGTACGGGATTTGAACCCATGACCTTTACGATACCGGTACAGCGCTTTACCAACTGAGCTAGCAAGCCGGATAGGAAGTGGGAGAAACATGAGGATCGTGCACTGCACCAGCTGCTTCCTGCGTGCTTTACAACCGACGAGAACACAGTCAAGATTTCTCTATTTGATAAATAGATTCCTTGTTGCTGCGTGTCTGTTCAGTTATAAGTCAAAGACGCCATCAAAATGTGGTAAGAACAAAAAAGTGGCACATAAGCACACTGAGCTGAGTGTGTCACTGATGATCTTATCATTTGTGATCTATTTCTATCCTGACTCGTGGAAATATGGAATTTATTTCGTGTATACTAAATAAAAAAAATTAATGTTTTTAATGGAAACATCATCTATGTATCTGTCTTCCCATAGATCATTAACCTTTTAACTCCCAGGAGTTACCAAGACAGAATTTCTCCTTACAATATCAATACAATATCAACCAGAAAAGTGATGAGAATAAAGAAAGTATCTACTTGTGGATAATTGATTGATCCATTACTAAATTCTCTGAACTAAAGTTATGAGAATTGTATGGTTGACAGTAAAGAGAGTTACAAATTTGATCTGGAAGTTAAAAGGTTAATAAGAACCTATCAAAATGTGTGTATACTATGTAATTCAGCTTATCATACGATCATTTCTTTTTCTTGCAGGAATTGTAGGACAAGTTTTCCCTATAAAAAATTCAGAGAGGTATGGCAAGCTGTGTAAGATTGTTTTGCGGGAAGATTTGGAAAAGCGAACTCTAAGGTCAACTTGTGCCACAATTAATGCTTTCCTGTTAGGAGATCTGGCTGATGAAGGTGATAGAATTAAAGAGGGTGATCGCGTGGTCTTGTCAGAGGTTGTTGTAGAATGTTCTCCCACCGATGAACACCTATATCAGCTCATTGCCTGGCGAGAAAAATCTCAGGCATCAATTTGGGTGATAAATAACAAGGGAAATGTGAGAGTTAACAATGCAAGTGGTAATGAAAAAACTCAAGTGAACAATGCAGAAGATGGAAAAAATCTTACATGTTGTGCTGACACTGATGAAGAAGAAACTGTTGTGCAGGAAACATCAGAGCCAGGGTTTTACATTGTAAAGAAGACATCTACTGGTGAAGAGGGTAGAAGGAGAAGGAGAAGGAGAAGCAAACCAAAGATATTTGAAAAGAGGAAAGGGAAATTTCATCTTGGCCCTAAGGGAGTCACACCTTCAAAATCACATGTAATGAGGAAAGTTAGTGATGCTGTCGTTGTAATAGACAAATCTGAAGTGACAAAACGTTTAAGTCAGAAAGATGAGATGGGTGGTGTTGAACATTTAAGCCTCAGCGTACAAAATGGCAGTCCAAATCAACCATCCAATGTGCAGTGTACTCACACTGAGTTGTCACCAGCAGGAGTATCAACAAGAATTTGTGAGGGTGATATGAAGGCTGGGCAAATGAGAGATCAGTCTCAAACAAGCACAGTGCCAAGTGATTTGCTGCAACTGAAGGCTCCAGAAGCTAGTGCTCTATCAATTGTTGAGAGCGATGTCACTGCTGAAGGGAACTACCAGATTAATGATAAGGTTAATGCACAGCAGAAAACAGGTAACAGCTCTGGGCATCTCTGCTTTTGTAAGCTGTACAGTGTAGCTTGGTATCTTTAAAATGTAGTGAACAGTTTCTCTTTGGATCTGACATATAGTTTAATTGTTATATATTTACATGTGTATGAAGATTTGATCACGTTATAATAATTGTATGGTTGATGGTAAGTAGAATAACAAATTTGATATGGGAGTTAAAGGGTTAACCTTGTGTACAAATGCTCTGATAGCAGTGTGTGTGATAATTATTACAATTGGTCATTAAGAAAGAACAACAAATACTGTCACCATAGTTTTAATCGTTCAAGAGGTAACCAACCTAGCATTGCTCTTTAAAATGTAGTGAACAGTTTCTCTTTGGATCTGACATATAGTTTAATTGTTATATATTTACATGTGTATGAAGATTTGATCAGCAAACTTCTACAGTTGTAATTACAATTGGTCATTACAAATACTGAAGCTGCCCACTCCCCCCTCCCCCCCCCCCCATTTAGCCAAACTTTCGACCAAGTACCTCCTCTATTACTTATTCATGGAAAGATCATTATTTGTTCCACTTAGACAAAAGAAGTAACTCTTGTTTTATAGATGAGGCACAGCAAATGTCCAACGAAGATATGCTTATGCCTGACTTTGAACAAGAGGATCAGGTTTTTTTATCAGCCCGTAGAAGATCATCTTCAACTTATTCTGTTGCCAACCAAAGAAGTCCTGCAAAAGGGTTAGATGTTTGATTTTTTAGTTAAAATTGGATTTCAAAGTTTCTTAAAAAGAAAAATTTTTTGATGTTAGATTCCACAGATTGATTTTGCTGTGACATGCACCATGATTTGTTTAGAAAATGTCCCTCTCTAAACTGGTGGTAATGGTCTGCCTCCAACTTTTTCCCAAATTGAGGCTCACTGCGCATTGTGTTTTGTTAAGTTCTCATTAACAGTCTTATTGATTTTGTTTCAGTTGAGTCAGATAATTGTCTTTAGAGGGCTGGACCTTGGTTAATTCTTGAAGAGTCAATACTTGCCATGTGTTAAATGAAATTTAGGGAAGTTTTGTTAACCTTCTCTCTCATATGGGAGATGTCACAGGTGTTTGGCTAGTGTGCAGGACTCTGATTGAAGGAGTCATGATTGAAGCTTTGGTCATCTTGGTCTTTGGAAAGATACTTAAATCCCATGATCTCTTAGCAGAGAAAAGTGGCTACCACAAATGGTTTAGACTACAAATGAGTACCAGCAAATTGTCTATGTGTTTATTTATATATCTATTCAGTGTGAAAAAAATTTCAACAGGCGGGACCAGTTCAGCTTAAAGTTGGTTTAAATGAGGGCTTGTATAAACATTCTGAATATGTCAATATACATGGATCTATATGAAAGTAAAATACACAAACAGAATGCCCCAACAAAAATGACTATAGAGCTGTACATATAAAGAAAATGAACAGTGCTATCTGCATTAGAGTGATGAGACAAATTTATGATTAGCAACAGAGGGGGAGGGGGGGTCACTTGTTTCTTCTATGGACTTGTGTTTTGTTTAGGAAAAAGAGTAATACTCCTGTTTCACCTTTTTGCAATGATGGCTCACAAAGCAAACCACTAATCTTGTACATCCCCTAAATGATCTTTTTAATTGTTTGCTTTATTTTTCTGATTCAAATTCCATGCTGACCATGTAAACTTCTTTGGATGACTGCCTTAATCTACAATGACCATTAATGCCTGCTTTTATCTATAGGCTGAACAGAAGACCTGGCATTCCTGGTGAGATTCCGCACCATGTTGCTGCAATCAATGAAGATGAGACATTCTCTACCAGTACAAGGAGTTTGATTCCTGAAGACTACACCCCAGTGGCAAGTCTGTTGGCTGACCAGGGATCTAATGATCAAGGTTAGTGGCTCACACCTACTGAAGTGGCCTTTACACCCAAACATCAGTATGCATATTCTCCATACTCTTCTCTGTACATTTCCTAAGGTGCTGACAAGGAGAATTTGTTTGATGATCAAGAGCTTCTTCAGTTGGTGATCATTTCCTTCATTCTCATGCCCTCAATGTGTGATTCAGGGGTGATATTGTAAGGAGAAATTAGATGCTGGTCACTCTTAGGGGTCAAAGGGTTAAAAGAGACTTCTCTGATGGATTATGAGTCTCATTCCAAGTTCATAGGCAGAATGATTAAACCATTTCACTTTTTTCTAGAAGTTTCTCTCTTTGCCTTTTGTGGCATACAGCTGTGATGGAACACAGCCCTAAAAATGAAAAACATGAGCTAATGCAGCTAATGTTGACTATAAAGTTACTCAATCATAATAACTATGAAGAGAAGCAAAGGTTTTAACCCTTTCACTCTCAAGATCTCATTTGTCATTCCCCTTACTTTCTGCCGTACAATTCTTATGCTGTTAGTTTGGAGAATTTGGTGGTGGACCAACTAGTAATCCCTTATTGATACTTTTCTTTATTTCATCACTTGTCTGTTTGATACTGTATTGGTATTGTTAGGAGAGATTCTGTTGTGGTCACCCATTGGAGTTGAAGGGTTTTAAATTGAGTTCTTTCCTTACCCAAAGGTGGAGTGAAGAGATCTTCTCCTAACCCAGTCCTTGATGTCAAGCGACTGAGAGCTTCTCCTGGACCTTCCAGCCAGTTGTCTTCCCGTGACCAACTTGGCAGTCCACGTGAGGGCGAGCGTGCCAAGGAGAAGTCCTCTAGAGAGGCCGCTGACTACACTGTTCCTCAAGGTTATACTACCTTGGCTAATCTAAAGCCTGAAACTGTTGTGAACATCTATGGAGTGGTGAAATCTTTCAAACCGGCCTGGAAGTGCCGAGGCACCGACATGTGCTCTGTTCTTATGATAACGGATCCTACGGTAGTTGATTCCACCTTTGGCCTTGAATGTGTCTTCTTCCAGCAGACCATCAGTCGCCTGCCTGCCGTTCACAAGGTGGGAGATATCGTGCGATTGCACCGCATCAAGATCTCGCAGTACCAGGAAAAGCTTCAAGCGATGTCATCCCGTGGATTTGCGGCGATTGTCTTTGACCGGGATAGCGAGGTACCAGTGACAGCAGAAATGGCGAGGGTCTCAAGCTCTACCTTCTCGCTATCAAAAGAGGATAAGGACACCATCCAGTGCCTAATAGAATGGTGTGACTGCAATCCGGCCATCTTTCCGCTAACTAACTTCATTCCTGTTGCGGAAATTAACCCAGACTGTTACTTCGACTTGGTCGGCCAGGTCCTTGGTGTTGCATTACATCGTACCCTGGACTGTGTGGTACTCTTTGTCACTGACGGTACCCATCCTAATTGTGACATCCGAGAGTGCACTGGCGATGAGTACAACGCGGTAGAGCCTCCTGATAACCACCGCTCGGCGAAGGACGGCGATGTCATCTCTGTGTTCCTTTACGGCGCTTACGCCGAAGTTGCGCGGCTTCTTGCAAGAAAGGGGAACTATGTCATCCTTCATAACTTGCATTCCCAGATCCTGAAGCAAGGCGGGTCTGTTTGCAGTGTGGTGGACGTTGTGAGGCCTTATGTCGAATTGTGCATCCATAGGGGCACCTGTTATGGGCGTGGTCTTACTCTTCTGTCCGCTGATTCGCCAGAAGTCATAGGAATTAAGAAACGACTAGGTGTCTAATTTGACACGACTTTTCAACAATTCAACAGTGTTTCTTTTCTTCCTATGGCTTTTATCGCTGACAGTTTTTTTTTGCTGTTTCTCCTTGTGTAAATACTCCCTTTTTACTCTCTTTGAGTTCAAACGTCGTCTCGTGTACCTAACAAACAATAATGGCAACCCGTAAAATGGTAACTTAAAACTATTGATGTATGTTACACGTAACATGAAAGAGTATTTTCTTGTATTAGGTTTCGTCAAATTTAACGACATTAAGGGCATTGAAATTATCCACTTTAGTCTTTGTTTGGAACGTCATCCTTCGGACAGGGTGGAGGGGGAGGGGGCAATATCCGGTAGCGATTTTCAGTTGAACCAGCACAATCATGTTGAACCCCTCCAGACCCGCATAATGTTCGAGTAGAAAGGGTGGGTGGGTGGGGGGAAGAGGTGTCTTGTGCTCCTCTCAGGCGTTAAGTAAAACTAATTGAATGTTCTAGCAAAATTTCTCCCAAACTCATATAATTTTCGCTCCTGTTGCTTTTTTCTCAACACTCAACTGTATAAATAACTATTTTTTCTGTTGTCGCTACATCTCCCCTTGGTGTGTCTACATTAATATGCTAGCTTGAGGTCAACTTAGCTTCTTAGATAACTGCATGCATACGAGTGACCCATTGCGGGAGCAAAGCGTGGAATTACCCGTTGTCCAGAAAGTGTGCGAGTCATTTCTTTTCACCTATTGCAAAGACTGTTGGTTGATCGAACGGGTGGTTTCCTATGTCTCTCCCCCCCATATTCTCGTTCTTGGGGCTCTCGCTTCTCACTCGCTCTCGTTCAACGGGGGCTGGAAACGGAAGGGGTCCCCAAGAACCAAGTCGACTGTTCCCGCCTCTCTTTTCTTCGTAAAACTTCCATGTGTTGAAAGGAGAAGGTTTGCTGCCCTCGTTGCCGACATAAACTCGGTTATGAGCCTAAGATAATGTTTTTTGGTGAGTTTGTACTTTTCAAGCGAAAGGTTGCAAGGGTGAGGCGAGCGGGTGTCCTGCTTCTCATGCCTTTCTCGCCTTTGCATTTCAGTCCCCTGAAAACAAACAAAAGAAAAAAATGGGAAAGCTTGTTCTGCAGGCGAGGATTTTAATGAGAATATCTGCTTTGTCCACCTCGGTGACCAAGTTGAATTATCTCGGCAGTATGAGCATGAATTACGCCACTGACCATATGAGCAGAAGGCAGAATTTATGGCACGAACGAAAACGTATCTCATAAATGATGTTTGTCAAGAGGTTATAAAATTTCAGTTGCATTTGTTTTTCAACTATATATTGCAGTACTTATCTTGCAAGGCATCAAATTTGAAAAACAATAAAGGAAAGTTAAGAATTTTTGCGAGATCAACATTTCTGCATCTTAAAAATCAAGGTGGCCTCTCGCTTTGCCCACCTTCGTTCCCAGCTGGGGACCTCTGAGGCTTATCTTCGGTCTCGTGACCTTCCCTGGTTTCAGGTGTCACGCAGTAATCTACATTTGTATATTTGCACAATCAGGCGGTTGTGTTTGTGCCTTCCTTTGGACTTGCGGAGTTGATTAACCTTGGCCTCTGCGCTCCGTGGTATTATTCTCGCAGTTCACGTCTTGAAAGAGAATCACTGGGGAGATTTTGTCTCAAAATCAGATTATTTATACAGTTAATCACCCGTAACATCAACAGTTCACTGTTACGCTCGATTGGGAGCAGTATTATTTAAATCTTGGAACATCTGTGTTGACGAAAAAGGATCGCGTTGGATTTATTTTGGATTTTACCCTTGCTTTATTTTAACAATTCCTTTTATGAGGACATTTTAGAAATTCTTCCGGTGGTGAAGTGGACTCCCTCCAATCTCGGATGCCGCGCGTTTTAACTCAAGAACCATGAGGATCAATTACACCAGCGTTTTGGTATTATTTTTCGCGGTTACCTACGAACTACCTTTGCTTGTTGTCGGAGAACGTCTAAATAATGATATTGTGAAGAACTGGTCTGCGCTAGTGGAGAGCTATCTCCTAAAACTTGCCGAGGAAGGCCTAAAAACGCGCGAGCTACAGAAGTTGTACGACAACGCAAATTACACAGTGGAAGAAAAAAGTGGATTCGATACTGTGAACTCTGTGAAATCACGGCTAGGAAACTACTTCGTTAAAAAAGAAAATGCGGCCAGGGTATGTAAGAATAATTTTTTATTGCGGCATTGAGGCCGCGATTAAAATTTAAACTTGATCAGTGAATTGCTCATATGAAGCTCTCTCCCAAAACCAACTGTTATGATTATGAAATATTCAGCAAAAAATGCTGAAATCTGTCACAATTGTTGTTTTTGTTCTTCACATTTGTTTGGACTACCGTTGCGTTGATGTTAGGTTCGTTATTTTTTCGTACTGTTGTTATTTTTTCGTCGCTAATTCTCTTCTGTTCCATTTTTAGCTGAATTTAATTAATTTAAATTATGCAAAGGTCACCTATCTTATCTGGCTATTTTGAGTACATTGATAGAAATCTCCGGACAGCTGCCTGAGGCAATTTTGGGATTCTTTTTTTCTTAAAAAAAAAATATGGCTGATGTCTAGGAGTTTTAACATACAAATACTGCTTTTAAAAAAATGTTGTCCCACAAGGAAATTATTCATCTTGAGATCATAACATACAGACAGAGTACAGCAAGGTCCATGCTCCATGAGTGAGAACCAAATATTTATTCTCCCAGCTGGACCAATTTAGGCACTAAGCATTTTATTATTCATGTAGGACCCTCTTTTCTATTTTAGCTTTCAGCTTGTGGGGCTGTACAGTGAGTACAGCCACTGAGTACAGCCCATGTATGGGTCTCTTTGTTTTTTGTTTTTGAATCAAAGTGCAAACAGGGCAGCATTTGTCATATGAAAGTAGATTCCCTGCATAACCCTGCTTGGAAAATCTATATTTTTTGGTTTGGAGGATCATCCTTCAGATGATGGATCAAGATCAAAAAATCCAAATTGTCAGCAAAACAAATTACCAGTAACAAATGTATTTCAACATGCACATTCATTATGTTGGAACAAAATTGATGAGTAAAGGCTAGTTGTGGGAAGAATGCAAATTGAGGAAAAAAAAAGCAAAATTGTTTTTAATGGACCAACATGTACTTAACAGAAAGTTGTAAACCTTAACAATTTATAAATGTAACAATTTCCCTTTGCAATTATTTTCAACTATGGTAGAAAGTTGCAGAAGAAGTTGCTAGACTTCATGATGAATTTTACACCAATGAAACTCTACAAAAAATGGCAAAGGTGTCAACTCTACAAGAGCTTGGTGACAAATTCTACTCTGACTCAGATCTTGTAGATACTCTGCCTAAAGATCTGGAATTCAATACGTAAGTAACTACTGCAATCTGACCAGTGTGTCCTCAATAGTGGCAAAGCCCTTAATATTTGGGAAGTGAAGCACATCAAGTGTTAGGTACTCCCTCTCAAAAGCTCATTCTTAGCTTTAAATGCATTGTTCAACACAATTTATTTTGGGATGGTCTAATATTTCTTGAAATTTACTTATTGTTAGTTAGCCAGTATTGAAATGAAGTTAATTTTATGGTAAACAAAGGTTGTGAGGAATATAGCTTCTGGGTACTTATGCTGATATTGAAGGATTCAAATTATGATAGAGGCTGCAAAGTACACTCCTCAATTCCATTGCTTCCTTGTCCCAAATTTATGAACAGTGAAACCTGTATTGACCCTGTCAATCCCAAGATGTACATATGAATTTTCCATATCATAAGCTGTCAATTAAAAATTGTGATTCAGCCTGGAGAGTTTGGTGTTAAATCAAACCATAATTTCTATTTGACATTTTTCTTTTTTCTTATCACCCAATTAATTTTAAAATTTGTTGATATTGTAAGGAAAAATTCCTATTTGATCAACCTTGGGAGGGAAAGTGTTAGATAGTTTTTCAAAGGCACTGCCAATTCCATTTCTTTACAAACATTTACCCCTTAAGTTTCTTCACTCCAAATGGAAGAAAGTCCTCTGCTTCTTTGTGGCTTAAACTTCCCTAAAAATGATGCCTCTTTTTACCAAGAATCTGGAGAACTGGCAAGGGTTAATAGGATATAAATTTGTCACCTATCCTTTTCAAACATTGAATCTCAAGTATAGATTACTACTGGTAACTAAATCTTAAACCAACCATTTAACTCGTAGGTTATTTAAGCAGAAAGTGAGTAAAAGCAGGAGCTCTGTGAAGATATCTGATCAGGTTGCCAGAAGCAACCCCAAGCTGATTGAAGCTGTGTTTTGGTCGTCACTTCTGGATAACGTGTTTAAGGAAAACTCAAAGAGTGATCCAGAATTAAGGTGTGTTTGTTGTGTGGTTTTGTACTATTAGCTATACAGCTATTTAAGTCAGTAAAAGGCTATCTTAACCCTTTAACTGCCAGAAGAGATAGATATGTACCTCCATGCAAATAAATTATTCAGCAAACAGGTAATAAGAATACTTAAACCTATTAGGAAGAACTTGTTGTCTTGATCTACACCAAATTCCCATGACTAATTCACTAGGAAAGGAGAAGCAGCTAGAGGGGAGAATTTACAATCAGATCTTGGGAGTTAAAGGGTTAAAGGTCCAATACATCCAAATCTGTGAGAGTTTTATTTTTTTGTAAAGGGTAAGATGCTTTGTTTATGTTTATTTATAATGTTTGTTTCCAATTTGTTTGAAATCGAGGGCCACAAGTTTAGTGTTACCCTCAGTGATAAATATCTTATCATATCATTTGTCTAAGAAAGATGTTTGGGTTCTTCCCTCAAATCTGTGCAGAGCTGCCAGCAACTTATTTTATTAAATATCTACTTCTTTGTTAAAATTATTTTATTGTTATTTTTACTTTTACTGCAACCCACATGTAAATTTGAAAATATCCTGGCATTGTGTTTGGCAGGTGGCAGAATTTTGGTTCAATAGAGGGCTTCGTCAGAACATACCCAACTCGAGAATGGTCCTTAAACTTTGCTGGGTTCCACATAGATTATGACCCCAGATTGAGGCCGTGGTATATTGGTGCCACGTCAGGCCCAAAGGACATCGTCATTATCCTGGATTGCAGCTTGTCCATGGCAGGAAAGAAATTTCACATGGCCAAACAAGTAGCAAAGACAGTATTGAACACTCTGACTAAACAAGATTATGTCAATGTTATCTGTGGACACGAGAGTCACTGGGATGAAGTAGGAAAGTGAGTAGATTTTTCAAACAACTCTCTGAACTGATAAATGTGGAAAATTAAGTGGTAGAGGTAGGTGGGATGGAGGAAGTGCTGATTGCATCTTTTTTCATGCATGAGACACTACAAATTTTTGCTTATCTCAAAGTAACATTCTGCATATCTTGGTCCTGGCTGGTTTGAGGAAAATTCATAGCAACCAGAAGAGAGATGAAGTAAACTAATATAAGATACTGAAAGAGGAAGGAGTAATACCTACATGCCTGTAGAAGCATAGGCACTCAAGGTCAATGTCTTTTCAGGTGGTTTGAGTACAAGACAGAAGTACTTAGCTGCCAACAAAATCGACTGGTACCGGCGTCCACTTCTCACCGGAAGGACTTAATTGAAAAGATTGATAACCTGAGGGCTGGTGGAACAAGTGAACTCAAGTAAGATAGCCGGCGCTTCAGATCTTCAGAACTAATGAGGCAGTCAAAGTATTTACTTTCCAAATGACCCATGCACAAGCCCATATAAAACCGTAATGAAAGCTAACCTGTGTAGTTTCGAATAAATGGGGTAAGTTTCTAAAGAAACTGTGGTGCTTCGTGGGTGGGAGAGTATAACAGGGTAATTTAGTGTTATCAACTGAGTTGATAACGGAAATTGGCCACCGTAAAGAGTTTAACATGGAACAGAAAATGGAGCTACGCTATTGGTTGGAATATGTTGACGGAAAAACAAGACTAAATAAGTTGAATGAGAAGCGCTTGTTGATACCGGGGCGATTAAGAGTGCCGATTTGGAAGGTAAATTTTTGTTCTAGAGTTTTGCGGCTTTCCGAACTGCTTAGATGCAGGGAAAGGCTGCAAACTGCCATATGCCATAGAGAGATTAATGTGTCTAGCGACTGGTTTGGATGCGTCCTTGTCATTTCTTTCCACGTCGCTAAGGTGCTCTCGGAATCGGTCTCGGAATATTTAGTTTCGAACATGTTGGCGTAAGCGTGTCCCGCGAAGAAAGCCGTTCGGTCCTTAACCTTTTAACTCCTAAAAGTGACTAGCGTCTAATTTCTCCTTACAATATCACCCCTGAATCAAATATGAAGGTCATGAGAATAAATGAACTGATCACCAACTAAAGAAGCTCTACATTGCTAACCAAATTCTCCTTGTCAGCACCTGAGGAAACATATAGAGAACAGTATGGAGAATGTGCATGTTGATGTTAGGGTGTAAAGGGTTAAGACCTCGTGCACAGGTTTTTCCTGTACGGAGCTCCTGCCTGGTAAATAATATGTGTATTATTTGTTTTTTTTTTTAATTTGCTTTTTGAGACAAATACGGATATTCGTAGGCCTTCCGCGCCATGATTTTCAAGCGACTGTCATGTTAGCGACGGTCAGTGTTTAATTTAACACAGCTCCATGGACACTTTTGCATGGCATGTGATTTTACGTTGCGCGCAGATTTGGAACGATGGGTAGTTTGCGAGACGCATAGTTGAAACGCACGTTGCTTTGCGCTGTGTGCTGTTGCTTCTCAGATGTGAACATATGAGATATCATATCAGAGGGAAGGCTCAAGTTAATCCTAAAACACCCAAGATCTGATTTTCAATTCTCCCCTCTAGCTGCTACACTTTTCCGTGTAAATTGGTTACGAGAATTGGTGTTGGATCAAGATGACAACCTCTACCTGATAAGTTTGAATATTCTCATTACCTGTTTGCTCGATGATTTATGGATATTATAGGGAGATGCTACATGTTAATCACTACTTGAGGTTTAATACATCGTTATTTCCATTTTTTGATGCAAAGGAAAATCATTGAGGGAAAAGCGCCTTTTATATGGTTTATTCTCAAGAGAGGTCATATTCTATGGCTGTTTTGGAAACTTTTCGGTCACAACAAAGTATCTCACAATAGTTTCACGCGTTCCTTCAACAGAAAATCTTTCAAGTTGGCATTCGAATTGCTGCAAGGAGCAGCCAGAACCGGCTGCCAGAGCATCATTGTTTTCGCTACAGATGGAGTGGATAATGATGGGGACCCTGTACGCTGTGGCCCAGGTTACTACACCAGGAGCGGTTACGTTCCAGGGCAGATATGCAAATATGACTGGAATGATGTGTGGGATGAAGTGCTGGCTAAGAATAGATATATGATTCCCAGGGTAAGAAATTTGTTGGAAGGGTTTGGTACTTAGTTTTAAATCTAATTTTTAAATTCTTTAGTTGGCATCAAAAATGGTTATGAGCTTACACTTCTTTAAGGCATGTCACGCAATTTTCCTTGATGCAGTCTGTTTTAATCGTCTCTGTTTGCTTATGTAGCATTTCCCTATGGCATTTCTTTTCCTTCTGAATTTCTTGATTTCATATGAGATTTGAATTAACTTTGTCACCTGATGGTCTTTTCTTTTGTTTTGTTCAAGACTCGGATCTTTTCGTATTTGACCGCAGACGATGGCGAAGAATTCCCAGGAAAGCTTGCTTGCGACAATGAGGGCTTCATGAAGAAGCTAACAGACGAAGAGAACATCATATCACAAATGCAGGATTACTACAGCTTCTTGGCGTCCAATACAATAAGCATTAGTAATGTCACGTGGACGTCTCCTTATCTGGACGCGTCGGGCCTGGGACTCATGGTCACGGTGGCAATACCGGTCATCAGCAAAGTCACGAATAAGTGAGTTACGCTTGGTTTGCGCTTGTGCAGTTACGAGCGGTTACGAACAAAGTTTTCTATGAATAGAACTGTACTTTATTAATTTTTTTTTATTATTTTTATTAGAATTTCCTACTTTTCTCAACAATTTCAATGACGCATCGCTGAGTTATTTTTGGCTTGGTCACGGCCTATTGGGTCACGCAAAGCCAGTCACTTTTGGCTTTGTCACGCCCCGTTAGGTCATACTTGGCAAGTCTTGCTAGCCTACTGTAGGCTTCAAACTAGCAAAAGTTCAAATTTGTTCTTTATGTCTTTACAAAGTTCTATCTCAAACGAGCAAGCAAGCAGATAATCAAACAAGCAACTGCAAACAAGATCTTTGTTAAGTTTTCGAAATTTCGAAATAGCACAAGCCGAAGCCGGGCGTACCGAAGTACGCTCCATTACTTCCGAAGTTAGTTTCAATTTCTGAACGCGTACCACGTTGGAATAGGAAGAAATCATGGTTTCAGCTCTCCAAACGGATTGTCTCTGATTTTATCTGGGACTCATTTCGCTGCCTTTTTTTGAATCAAGGATTTAAGTCGAGTTATTATTGTCTCATCCTAGGACTATAGGTGTGGTTGGAATTGATGCCACACTGGAAGAGATTGAGAACATCCTGTTGAACGACCAGTGGGGATCGGTGTACGCTTTTCTGGTGAATGAGGGAGGAGAGACAATTTTTCACCCGCTTTTGCGACCAAGCACTGAGGTAAGGGAACAACCACGCTAGAAGCATTCGGTTTGTTGAGGAAGGTTTCCTGTATTTCCTAGCGGCTGAGTGGATTCAAGACAACTGGTCTTGTCTTTCTGTTTATCTCTGTCTTCCATTCTGGATGGATGTGGTGAGGCACTCTTCAATATCTCCCGTAGTTGTTTCAGCTGCTGTTCATTCGCTGAGAAACAAAGGGCTTGCAGACTCGCTGATGATATGCTGGGATTTTTACTGAAATAAGAGGGCAAATATTGAAACATATCACCTTTAGCAGTTGAACGTATACAAATACCCCGAAAGAGTCGGGGAAAGATTCGTATGATGCAAAGAGAATGTCTACAACTTTTCATCGCAAAAAAGAAAAAGAAGCGAGACCTATCTAGGTTCTCTTCTCTCAATTCTAGAATGTTTGTTAAGTCTGCTCCGAATTTTTTTGTGAGCGAAACTTGGATAAGTGTGAGGGAAAACCTTTACCTGAATGGCATAACGTCTGGGGTAGGGTTAGTTTGCTTTTGTACAAATTGAAGTGAGGTTCGTCATAATTCGATCAAGCGGTTCTGAGACTAGCCTCTCAACTTGAATCTTTTTGCACGGCGTTATAAACCGATGATTTCGGGCTATGTTAGCGCATGATTCGGACAAATCGTGGAATTTTTCGAATAGCACACACTCTGGGGCAGAAATATTATATTACCATCAACTTTTATCTGTTGTTAGTAGTTAACCGCTTCGAGAAGATGAGCTGAAAGGTTGAGCCTCTAAGATTGACTGCCATCTGATTTCTCTCTGAAGTATCGCCTCTTAATCATACATTAAGGTCAAGAAAAAAAAGGAAATGATCATCAACTAAAAAAAAAAATCCTCCTTGTTAGCCGCAAAAAGTCTCGAGTTTTCCTTTTTCCAACTTGTGTTTCCCTTTACAAATTTATATGAACGTATCAATGATTTTTTCGCACGTTTAGCGTGACAGCGGTTGTGTCTTATGTTTTCTTATGAAATTTTGCGCGGGAAATTGGCGCGCAGTCAGCCAAAATTGATCCCCTTTGCGCATGCACTACGTTTGACCGCTGTGTTAGTCAGTTCCTTCAACTGGAAGTTTTCTTACCTGTTACCGGTGATGGGAAAAACACGATTGTTTAGCCTTCCTTTGCATCGACACAATAACATCATCTTAAGTACTTGACGATATTGTTTTCGTGTAAGGACATACATAAAAGGGTCAGCGATGAAGTTTAGCAGAAGAAACGAGCAGACAAGAAGATCTGCAGTGCTGTTTTCCCAGTGGTAAAAAGCGTTCCCTATTAGACGGACCTGAAAAATTAAGGCGGATTTTCAGAAATGACCAGTATTCTAGGGTTCTAGATGGCTTTCATGAGACTAAAACGGAGGCTGACTTAAGACCAATCACGGTGATGATGAATCGTGCAGCGAACCAATCACGATTTGCAGCAAAGCTTGGTTTTCGATGAAAAAGCGCGGGAAATTTTGCGAACGAGGGTGTTCACATTGGTCTGTTTTAATCATCTGATTGGCTAAGAATAAAATAAGTTCGTTGAAGAGTTATACATGCTTCTGGGCTCTGTTATTCTCTGTTATTATTTATCACACAATCAGTCAAAACCAGGCGTAGAGGTCGGAAATATTGGTGGATGAAAAGCAAATAATGTTCTTCGGCAGACCCGACCATAGGGGGTGATTCCTGAACTGTTCAGAATGAAGAGAGCTCATGAGAATTCCATTGAATCGACGTTTTTAGTACTACTTATCAGTTCTCTCGAAGAAAAGGAAGATATAAAAGGAATTAATTATGTGACTAATTCGAGTGAGCTTTCGAAACCTAGTTATCCAGGAAACCTCATTTCTTGCAGACATAAGTTTACCTTTGAGTTGACAAGATTGTCTTCACGATTGATTTTGATTTTGATACGATGCCGATTGCTCCGACGGACTCCAAAGGTACAGACTTGAAAATTTTCCTAACGGGTTCACGAAACAAGTCTTCCTCTCTCACCAATCTTTGTAGAGTTAGTATTAGAGTTAAAAAAAGGTTTTGGTTGAAAAAAGAATCGATTTGATCGCGAACGCTTTTATCGTCATGAGCAAGTTTTATTACCCCAATATTTTCAGTTTCTCTTTTAACGTTCGGTGAACTGGACGTCTTTTTTTTCATAAAAAAATTCTGGAGTGATCAAATCTAAATTAAAGTTAAACATTCAGGCAGAATATTTAAAAATCTTGAAAGTAAACAAAAAGAAATTATTTCATCCGGTAGTGTGAATTAATTTTTGGCGCTATGAAGCGAAAAGTGGCAAAAAAATTCAGCGTCCGATCATTCATTGAAATGAATTTGGCTTACAAGTTAGTAATCGTAATGGGAGGATATTTTTGGCAGGAAAAAAAACCTACCATCAATGCTTTCGAACCAAAAGCGGATTTACAAGGGGTTTTTAATTTGGCCAATTTGTCAATCCAAACGTGGTTGCCATTGAAACGTTACGTCATGCGAACATAAGGTTTGCTAGTGCGTGGTCATGAATCTATTCGCATATGTTTTTCTGTTTTTAAATTTAAAGAAAGTCTAGAAAATTGAATGCTGATTGATCGAGCCGATTGAATAATAGAGACGTTTAAAACTTATCAAGAATTCTTCAATGACAGTGGTGTTCCTTCTGTCAGTCCTAGGTAAATGTCAATATTTCATAAGTTAACAGAAGATATTCGATCTCTGCTTTGTTTTTCTTTGTTTTTGTTTTTTTTCCAAAAGCCATAACGTTATTTTTGTGCGTTGCTTCGCAGGCCTCTTGACATGGACAGCTTCCAAACGAAATTTTAAGCTCGCCTAATCCTTTTCAAACACCTTTTTTTCTCAGTCAATTTTGGAGTAATCAAATTGATAATAGCACGAATTTATGAGGTATTTTTGAAGAATTCAAAGTAAACAAAGATCAGAACATATTTAATCGGGTTATAAATATTACTTGTCTGGCCGTTCATCGAAAACTATTGTTAAGAAATATTCTATTATTTTTTTCCTTTTTAAAAAAAATACCGTAATAACCGGTAGTCAATATATCGCTCACCTAGCCGATCTTTACCTTTTTAACTTAATCTTATACATTTTCATACCTTGAGGGCATATTATTTGAAAGGTTTTTGGGGCCTTATGAATGTGAGGTACATCAAACTTTTTGGGGGATTCGACACTCTGCTCAAGATACTTCAACTAGATAAATTGAAAGGCAATAATTTCTTACCATGAATGGAATCCAGCCAAAGAGATACACTACAGAAATTAGTACCATCGTTCTTGAGAACTGTATTTCGGTGTCCTCTCGTTCGATGTTTCTAAACTGTGCCATCCGTCGTGCTCCAGGAAGAATCATGTTCGTCACCGATACCCGGCGTTTCCTGTTTCTAAACAGTTCCCAGATGACTGTTATGTTACAAAATAGGACTACGGTCGCAGGTAGACCACCGAGAACTGCGTAAAACGCACAGAACGTGCGGTCAAGCGCGTTTTTCGGAAACCAGTTTAAAGTACAAAAAGAGCCACTTGAGCTTCTCACAAAGCTTCCAAATTTCAAGATGGGAAAAAACGCGACGAACAAGGACGCTGCTATAGCTCCTGACAGTAGCACTTTTGCCTTGTTTACTGTCATTGTTTTGCGATGAAAAAATGGTTTGGTGACGGCTATGCAGCGATCGACCGCCATTAAAGTTGCTAAGAACGCTGAACAAAGCGTCGAAAATAGGAAGACAAATCCCTGGAAATCGCAAAGTTTCTTCCCGCCAACCCATTCGCCTTTGATGTGGAATAACCAAGATGGAACACAAAAAAATGTGATGGAGATCAGGTCGATGCATGATAATCCAAGCACGAAGACATTAGGGCTAAGCGGTTGTAGCTGAAGCAGTCTAGCAGAGGAAAGAATGGCGAATGTGTTGGCGATGATTCCAGTGATCGGCATAATGTACAAGATAATTTCTACAGATAAGTTAGAATCATCGTTTGTGGAATTTCCTGTCATTGTCTTCAATTTAATGCCTTATTCATTCGTCTTGGGTTGTTGCGAGAGAGCGGCATTCTTCTGCGCTTATTCTCGTCTTTTCGTTCCGGCCTTCCTACCTTATGTTGAATAAAGATCTTTGTATGCCCGCAACATTAAGGTTTTCTTTTCACAATTTATCTCACTTAGTTACCCCTTGTGCCTGCCGATTCAGATTCTAATTGGCTTAATCCTCGTTGCCCAATTGTCTTCCGTTTGAGTAGTTTTAACCCTTGAGGCTGTCAAATGCTCTTCTAAATTATTCACTATTTTTATTGAAGTGTGGTACTCTTTTGACCAGAATGAGTTTAAAATTTTTCAATTACTCTCGAACCGGTAGCAAATATCATTTCCCTCGACGTAATATAGAAAAATAGAAAAAATAGAAACTCAAATTTCCTATATTTATTGTTTGGAATACCGGTTTACATGTTAATCTATTTTTTCGTCCAACAGCTTGCAGCTTGCAATAAAATTCACAAATGTTTATGTGTGCACGGAATATATTAAGAGCTTCTGCGCTTACGCACGTGTAATGCTGCATGAAAATGCTCTTTAAAAAGAAAATTTAATTAACTATCTGCGGCTTGAGTATGATCTTGTGTTCCCAAAGAGGAAATTGTAGAGCAAGCCAAGACCGGGTAACTGTAGAAAAAAAGAAAATATTTTCAAAACTGTTTGCGGGGTGCGATGATAGATGAATAATATCCAAGATTTCCCATTCGTTTAAAGTGCGCTCAACTTGATAGAAATTCTATGGTAGGGTTTTTGTTTACCTCGGTTATTTTCACCCTCGCTGTATTAGTACTCTGCTAATCAATTTGTATTCAATCTCATTTCATACATTTTGCACTTAGTTTTGAATAGTTTACAAAAGGCTAAGGAAGTCACAAAGGTAGTTCACCAAATTGGTCATTAATATTGAAGCGGCGGTCAAATTTTCAATGTGCTACCACATTCTCATTACATATTCCTTATTTGGAAGGCGGGATCACAACTTTCTTTTATCCTACAATTGGTTTATGTTTGTGAAAGTGCAAGCAGCTGCTTGTATTAAAACAAACAGGGAAAGTGTTATTTGAACATCTGTATTTTCTCTGTTGAAATTGAGGAGACTTATCTTTCAAGAAGGAGATTTTATTTGAATTTGTCAAATAAAGCCATGATCCTCGCTGATAAGCAGACAGTTGTAGGAAATAAGCCTGAAAGAAAAAAAACACCGGCTTCAACGAGATTCGAACCCATGCCTCCCGGTTACTTGTTGAGCACCACTACCGACTGAGCCATCAAGTCACATATTAGGAACGAGGGAACTTTAGAAGGTTTTTTTTTCCCGTTTCTCTTTCACGCAAGTAAACAACGATATTGAGTGATAAACTCAATGCATTGGAAGGAATAAGTAGACGTGTATTTGTGTTAAACGTTGCAAAAACTTCATAAATAGTGGTCAAAAGCTTTCATTTAAAGATGGCCACACCAATTTTTCAATTGCAAAAATTTGCAGCGCGCTATTATTTAATTGAATGGTGGGGCACCAGGGTTTTATGCTAAGGTACGTAAGGCTAGAACGATAGATCATTAGCTTGCTCACTTAGTGGGAGTTCTTCCGGAAAATTGAAAGCCACCGACATCTTAAAAAGCTCAATGGTTCCCCTACAGCGTATCTGCGGTGAACGTTATATTAGTCGACATCCTATGGCCATTTCTTTTATCTTCGAAACCTATGATGCGTATTTAACCTCAACATAGCAAAGACATCTTTATGCCAATTGAGGACAAAACAGCGCGTGAAGCCGCCTGGAAACAAATATATCCAACTTTTTGTTCAATAGTTGACTTAATCGGCCGGGTTTTCAAAACACATTTGCTAAGCTCGAGTTCAAGGAAATTTTTTTAATATTCTTGTAACTTTACAGAAAATTTTATTATTCATAATTTTTTTCTTTCAACTTAGCTTGACGGCAGGATAAAATTCTACAAAAATTTAATCGTAGTTAAGAGAACAAAAGCAATATTTGCTTCCTACACACAAAAAATAAAGCACCAAATTTTTTTTAACCCTGAAATTATCTCTAGGTACCTTTGAGACAGTCGGCCTTTGAATGAGAAGAGGAAACGATATCGTGTAGTTTTTAATGTATGTTCGTAACGCTACGTTACCATTGCGTGCGCTACGGCGAAAAGCTTGCTTCGTGATGAAACTCAGGCCAATTTGTCTTTAAGCATGTCGCACAAGACCATTTTAATGTAGCTATTCCAAATCTGGCAAAATTTTGTGGGAATTGCTTCTGTAGCAGCCTCGCCGTTCTCTCTTACTGCAACACAACATCAGATTGCTCTTTTGATAATCGCAAGAAGTCACGTGAACAATAATTGTCATATTTGTCGAGCAGGAGCCTGGGGTCACACGTTGCTTACAGTGCTGCACTGAAAATCTCGTCGCTCTAAAAAGTATCTCGTTAAAACATGAATCTGACCTGCGTCGGAAATCTTTTCGCACCAGGCAAATTCAACGTAGCGGTGATAGTACGGTGCAAGTATTTTATAGCAAGTATTTTATAGCTATTCCAAAACTGGTAACTTTTTGGAAGTCTTTTCTCGTAACCCTACTTTTTAATTCCCCCATTAACGCCGGTTTTTTGGAGTGAACAGCTCTTTAGCTTTTTATGTGACAGTTAAACGTTGTGCTTTGATTCGGTGTTTTGCTTTCCTCACACAGCTTGTGGATGATCCAATCTTCATTCCAATCAGCACCCTCGAACAGCGCAATGGTAAACCGGCGGAGTTTGACACAGTCGCCAAAGGCATGATGGATGGCGAAACTGGCTCTCTTAGAATCGAAAACGCCATTAGAAGCATTCCAAAAGGAGATTTTCAAGATGGAGTAATGCTCGTTACTCTACCCTCCACTTATTACTACACGTCAATCAAGGACTCCGAGTACGTTTTTGCCTTCAATCTCGCAGACTCGGATAAGAATTACCGCAGACCAGCATCACCGCCGCGTGGGATGAAAATTCCTGTCAATTATTACGCCAACATTTTGTCCTATAACTCCCCTGAAGTGAGACAGGTAAGGAATATGTATTAGTACATCAACTTCGACTGTTAATTCAAAAATTTTCGGAAGGGGTTATGTATTCAATACGCCGGTGAGGCTTACAGCAATCAAGGTCCTGTTCTGGACAGTGATAGTTGTCCTTGGAATTCCATACGTGGCCAATACGTGTTTTGTTTGTTAGTTCTACATCCATGCTCAGTCCTCAAACTCTGGTGTTTGCTTAAAATTTTAGTTCATTTTATTTCGACAGTTGAAGCTGTTACTTTCTCTTTACGCAAGCAGACGAACTGAGCGCAATCTTTAGTCAAACTTTCGGCAGACCAACCCTCCCCCTCCCCATTTTTCATCGCCTAACAACAATGTCCTCCCCCATTTTTGTTGAAGATTGTACCCTTCCCCGTGTCAGTAATGTTTTATACGATAAATTGAATTATACACGCGTTATGATTCGTTCTTATTTATGAGCTAATGAAGGACAGATTATTAGGTGTCGTCACCAATAGCCCTTTACCTCCCATAAGTGACCAAGAAAGAGTTTCTCCTTACGATATCGATGCAATATCAAGCAGACGAGTGATGAGAATAAAGTAAAATATCAATCATGGGATTATCAGTTGATCCAATACCAAATTCTCCAAATTGACATCATAAGAATTGTATGTCAGACAGTAAAGAGAATTACTAACAAGATCTTGGAAGGTAAAGGGTTAGGAACATTTTCCTTCATTAATCCCTATCACATTTTTACGTCATCTGTGATCTACTATCGAACAGACGCTCGGCAACATGGAATCTATTTGTTGACCATTAACTCCCATGAGTGACCAAGACAGAATTTCTCTTTACAATATCAATACTACACCAAGAAGACAAGTGGCAAGAATCAAGAAAAGTATCAATTAGGGGATTAGTTGATCCAAGACCAAATTCTCAGAAGTAACATCAGAAGAATTTTATAGCAGCCAGTAAAGAGAATTTCTAATGAGATCTTGGGAGTTAACGGGTTAAATTGATTATTTCTCTTCTCCTGCAGGTTTTGGGAAATTTGTACGAAGATCTCAATGTTGAGTACAACGTGTCTTTCTTCCCTGATTTACCCTTGACTTTTAACGTGTCCACTGTGATGCTGAGCCCCAAGACTTACTGTAACCCAAACAACTTCCTCTTCAGGGAAAATAACAGCGATATCACCATCGAAGCACATCGTTTTCTGAACGGGGAGGGAGATAACAGTGGTTGTCCACATGGACGATTTCGGGCTTCTGTTAGGTACGATAAAAACACAGTTCGTGGAAGGGCCTTCGATTGAGTGTCGCAGAGCCAAAGTCAAAGAAATCGAAAACGGCCAATCGGAGCGAAAGAAAATATCGATGAGCCAATGAGAACTCAAATTTAGAACGAGCCAACTGTCCGAACCGCGGGAAAACACGGTTGGCCAAATCGCGTTTGGTTTTAGTTTTGAATGGGATTGATTTGGAAAGTGGTGCGAGTTTTCTGTACCAATCATAGAAACCCAAACAATCCCGGATGACTTCCGACACTCAATTGAAAATTGTTCTGTTATCTTGCATTAGCGTTGGTGTAATTGAAGTTATGAAGAAAAGACGAGAAATTTATTCGAACTCCCTCAAGAGTCAACATTTGTGGTGTTCAGCATGAGTGTGTATGCAGGACACAGTGCTAACGATTTATCGCCAGCATCCGAGATGAACAGAATATCTTAAAGGCAGTTCATTTTATTCATTTCTTTTAAGATTTATTAAGTGCTGTTCTGGTCTGTAACTCATACATTTGTCCGGTGGTCTACTTCTCGCACCAACTCGTCGGCGATCTTCCAATAGAGGATGGAACTCAACGCAGTTAAATTTGTTTTTCGAATGCAGTTTCTGGATTACTGATCCAAAATGTACTGAAAGTGCGACTGTTATTTTATTTTTCTCTTTTTTCCCCTGCTGTAGACCTGATGTAGAGATTACATCATTAATAGAGGACATATGGAAGAACAATCGGTCGAGAGAGATTTTGAAAGATGTTCCCTGGAC